TCGCCCGGGTTAAGCGCGCCATAGGGGCGGCCCCGGCGGCGGATGCCCCCGGCGCGCCCCGGGGGGGGGAGCCCAGACATCGGGCGTCCTCCTCCCCCTCCCCCCCTCCCCCTCCCCTCCTCTCCTCTCCTCCTCCTCCTCCTCCTCCTCCTCCTCCTCCTCCTCCATCCTCCTCCTCCTGCCTCTCCTCCTCCTCCTCACTCTCCTCCTCCTCCAGCCTCCTCCTCTCCTCCCTCCTCCTCCTCCTCCATCCTCCTCCTCCCTCCTCCTCCCCCTCTCTCCTCCTCCTCCTCCTCCTCCTCCTCCTCCTCCTCCTCCTCCTCCTTATGCTCCTCCTCCCCCTCCGAGACCTCTGGGAGTCGACGTTCCCAGACATCGGGCGTCTCGAAAAAATCGAGACACCTATTTTTTCATGCTTCCCAGACCCCCTCGAGTAGTGAAAAAATCATGGCGGGAGGTTTTGCCGAATTTTCGGCCTCCGGGGGCCCTCGCCGGGCCTCGGGAGCGTCAAGAAACGACTCAGGATGCAAAGCCGGTCATGGGGAACGGGTCGGGACCTCTGGGGGTCGACGTAATGAAAAAATCATTACGTCCGGGGTCTGGGTTTTGAGCCTCTCGGGGCCCTCGCCGGGCCTCGGGACCGTCAAAGCACGAGTCGGGATGAAAAACTGACCCCGGGGAAGTGGTCGGGAGGTCGGGGGCCCGCGTCTCGAAAAAATCGAGACGTCGGGTGTCTGGGAGTGCAGCAGCAGTTTTGGAACCCGCCAGGCGAAATCGCAGCTGTGGCAGCCCCCAACACAAGCCCAACTGTAGCAGCCCCAAACCATCGCAAGTGTAGAAGCCCAAGACGATGCCAGCCGTAGTCAAACGGTCACAACCACGAGCCAGCTCGATGCGGTAGTACAGGATCGTGAACGAAACTGCGCAAAGAGGGCCCAAGTGCAGTAACTCAAGAAAACGAGGTCAACTGTAGTAATTCGAAAACGAGGCCAAGTGTAGTAACTCAAAAACGGGGTCAACTGTGGTAATCGGGCACGGGGTCATTTGTAGTAGCTCGAAAACAAGGTCCATTGCAACAGCCGAAAAATAAACCGGGTGTAGTAATTCAAACATGAGTTCAAGTGTAGTGGCCAAAAATGAGGCCACGTGTAGTAATCTAAAAACGAAGCCAACCGAAGTAACCAAAAGTGGAACCAAGTGTAGAAACGAAAGACCACATCCACTACAGTAGTGAATACGTGACCTCTGGACGCGCAGCCTCGGGCCACGACGCGGGCCTGCCTGGGGCCATTCCGTCGCACCCCCCCTTCTTCCCCCCCCCCCCCTCCCCCCTGTTTCGTCGTCGTCGGTGTCGTCGTTGCCGTCGTCGTCGTCGTCGTCGTCGTCGTCGTCGTCGTCGTCGTCCTCGTCCTCGTCCTCGTCCTCGTCATCGTCGTCGTCGTCGTCGTCCTCCTCCTCCTCCTCCTCCTCCTCGTCCTCGTCGTCGTCGTCGTCTGTCTTTCCCTCCTCCTCTTCCTCTTTCTCCTCTTCCTCCTCCTCCTCCTCTTCCTCCTCATCCTCCTCGTCGTTTGCACCCTCCTGCTCCATATGGGGGGAGTAGGAGTAGAAGGAGGAAGAGGAGGAGGAGGAAGAGAGCTGGAAGTTTTTGAATGTTGCAAGGAGCGCGCGCGCTGCTAGTAGCAGTTATTGGGCAGGATCGAAATCTCCACGCGCCTGGCGGGTGACGCGAGTCACCCGCGCGCGCTCGGTGACAGCAAACGGCTCGCTTTAGGCTGCCGACCATTTCACCGATTCCCGCACCGACCAGCACACCGACTCCCGCACCGACCAGGTCACCGACTCGTGCACCGACCAGCTCGCCGACTTCCGCGCCGGCCATATCACGACTCCCGCACCGACCAGGTCACCGACTCCCGCACCGACCAGATCACCGACTGACTCCCTCGTCGACCATGTCACCGACTCCCGCGCCAGCCAGCTCACCGATTCCCGCACCGACCAGGTCACCAACCCCTGCACCGACCCCTGCACCGACCAGCTCGCCGTCTCCCTCGCCGACCATATCATCGACCAGGTCACCGACTCGTGCAACGACCAGATCACCGACTCCCTCGTCGACCATATCACCGACTCCCGCACCGACCAGCCCACCGACTCCCGCACCGACCAGATCACCGACTCCCTCGTCGACCATCTCACCGACTCCCGCACCGACCAGCCCACCGACCCCCGCACCGACCAGGTCACCGGCTCGTGCACCGACCAGCTCGCCGACTCCCTCGCCGGCCATGTCACCGACTCCCGCGCCGGCCAGCTCACCGACTCCCGCACCGACCAGGTCACCGACTCCCGCACCGATGCACAACTGCGGCAGCCAGATCCGGCAGTCACCTCAGCCTCTTGGTCAAGCTCCGACCCCGACTCCAGAATTCAGTGCAAGACCTGGGTGCGGGACGTTGCGCAGCTGGGTTCCTTGACATACCGGTGCCTCGGTACCCGTTTCCAGACGCCTTTCGGCCTCCGCCCACCCCGGGAACGGCTACCAACACTCGGGCTGCATCTACCTGGTGATCTATTTGTACGACTTGTACCCCTACCCTACTTGTCCTACTACTCGTGAGCCCCCACATCGCCTTTGCCCTCCGCTGCCCCCTCTTCCTCTTCTTCTGCCCCTTTCTCCCGCTCGCCTCCTTGCTCCCGCCTCCCGCGCGATAGAAATCTGGGAATTTGTTCCATCAGCCGCGTCGCCGTACAGGTTGTTTGCTTCTTCGTTGTGCTGTGCACTGTCCTTACTTTGTCGTTGCGCGCTGCCTTTTTATATGGATGGTCGGTTGGGCCGCGTGGGGGTGCACACGCATGACCAGCAGGAGGAAGAGGATCGTACTTTGTGGACTGTTTCACTTCAGGCGTACATCGAAGATGTGTTTTGGAAAAAATCGCTGGCCAGTCTAGCGGTGCAGATTTAAGTGCTTCGCCTTGGCCAGCCTCGCGGTGCAAACATAAGCGTTTCGCTTTGCCGCGTTGCAGGCTGTTTCATTGGAGGTGCATGCTTTCGGCGCAACCAAAAATATTCGGGAACGTGTTTTTCATTTGCAAACCAGCGCATGTTAACTTCAAAATCAACTTGGCCACCGCTAGGGATTTCCCTTCAGGTTCCAGGCCAACATGGCGACTTTCAAGTTGTGGACATTACAGAACTCGCCACGCGCGCGCGGCGTGTGACCCACCAACCGAGCGGGTCGACCGAATTCCTGTCGGTCACCGCGATGGGTTCATTTCCGCTCCCAAGCCAGAGCGACGATTTCTCCATTGTGGACAACACAGCCCATCGCGAACCCGTGTCTTTTTCAACCTCAAGTCCGTCACCGTTACGGGCCCATGTTAATTTCCAGGCCGACATGGCGACTTTCCGTTTGCGGATAATACAGCGCCTGCCACGCGCGAGCGCGCGCGCGCAGCGGGTGACCCACCCACCGCGCGGGTCACCCGAAATCTTGTCGGCCACCGTTAAGGGTCGATTCTAGTTTCCAGGACGACATGGCGACTTCGCTACCGTGGACATTACAGGACTCGCCGCGCGCGACGCGCACGCGCGGCGGGTGGCCCACCCGCCGCGCTGGTCACCCGAAATCCCGTCGGCCACCGCTCAGGGGTCAGTTGGGATTCCAAGCCAGCATAGCGACTCTCCCAGTGTGGACAATGCAGAACTTGTCGCGCGCACGCGCGTAAGGGATTGCTGGATTGATCATGCGTGAAGTCGTACACCAGAACCCATGTTCCATGTAACATCAAATCCGTCACCGCTAAGGGTTATTTTGGGTTGTCAGGCCAACGTGGCGATTCTCCTATCGTGGACAATGCAGAATTCGCCGCGAGTTCGCGCGCGCGCGGCGGGTGACCCGCCCACCGAGCGGGTCGCCCGACACCTGCTCGGTCACCGCGAAGGGTTCGCTTTAGTTTCCAGACCCACATGGCGACGATTCGATTGTGCACACTACAGAACTCCGCGCGCGGGGAGCCCTGTATTGTCCATCGTAGGACACCTACGCCCAAACCAAGGGCAGTTTGAAGATCCAACCGGTCAGCGCTCAAGCTTTGACAACAGCCTTAAGTGTTGATTGGCTTCGATGCTGCGCAAGGTCGGCCAAGGACTGTCAAAGGTTATCAAGGCTCGATAAAGGGCTACCAGGCCATGCCAAGGGCTGGTCGTGCGCCGTTAAGAAGAAAGGGTCAAAACATTTTAGGAAACAACGAAACAATGAACCAGGACACGCGACACTCACGACATCGCAGGGGAAAAAAAAACAGACCGAACGAGCGGCATGAACAACTCGTGACTCACAGTGGGTTGGGTTTGCTGGATTGGCGGCGGGTTTGCCGTCGGCGTCGGCGAGCGAACGTCGACGAAAAGGGGCTCGGCAAAAACGCCCGCCGCCCCTTCCCAATGGGTTGCGCGCTGGAATGGCAGCAGCCCGCTAGCCGTCGACTATTCGCTTGCAGTTCGACAGGAGGGCAGTCATCTTTTCGAACAAGCCTCTGATTACATGCAGTCGAATCCCTTCAATACTATTGTAGTGTTTTTCTGTCATGCAGTGGGGAACAGGGGCGGGCGCGCCCGGCGCGAGTGTGGCCCAAGTGCAGTAACGCTTTTGTTGGAACAGGAATAGAGCCAAGAAAACCTTCCAACGCAGAGGTCTCCACCCCACGAGCGGTGGGGTCTCAGTTGAGCCGTTCACTTGATGCCCCATCTGGACAGGAGAAAGGGCCACTGGCCGGGAAGGTCAAACCAAAACAAAACCAAAAAGACCTTTTCGGCAAGGGCCGCCTTGCACGTCCGGTGCCAGCGTCTCGCCGCTCAGAGCTCCCAGCGCTGCCGTTCCAGCACAGCGGTTGCGGTGGCATCGAGGCGACTTCTGAGGCTCCGCGAACCCGATCCTCCTCCTCCTCCTCCTCGTCCTCCTCCTCCTCTTCCTCCTCGTCCTCATCCTCCGCCTCGTCCTCCCGATTGCCCACCTTGTCCTCATCCTCCGCCTCGTCCTCCCGATTGCCCACCTTGTCCTCATCCTCCGCCTCGTCCTCCTCGTCCTCCCTCGTCCTCTTTTATTCGCGGGAGCGCATGGCCTCCCCCGCAGGCCCTGGCACGTGCTGCGTTGCTGGCAGAGGGTCGCGGAGCCGGCCCGAGTCGGACCCGAGGGGTGGGGCCAGCCTATGTTTTTTTCACCCTTCATCTTCCGACCATTGGGTGGTTTCTGTCCTCGACGCCGTCACGCAAACACTCCTATTCATGTTCCTCCTGTTCGATCTGCCCCCTTCTCCCGCTCCTCCTCCTCCTCCTCCTCCTCCTCCTCGTTCTCCTCCTCCTCCTCCTCCTCCTCCTCCTCCTCCTCCTCCTCCTGTTTCAGGACGCCCGAAATGGGTACGGAAGCAATGGGTACAATGCCCAACAGCAGTTCCTGTTCATTTTGAACAGGACTCGCTGTCCGCGCCGCCGCGGCCAGTCTCCATTCGAGACAGAAGGCCGCCTGCCCAACAGCGGCCGCTGTTGGTTTGGGACAACATTTGTTGTTGGGCATTGTGCCCATTCTTTCGGTACCCATTTCGGGCGTCCAAACTGTTCTTCCCCTTCCTCCTCTTCCTCCTCCTCCTCCTCCTCCTGCCCCTCCTCCTGCTCATTCGTGGGAAAAATCGAAACGAGGCGTCAGGCATCGAAACGGAGGCTCTCGACCGCATTTGTGGTGTGTGGCGGTCCCTTTTGCCCTCCTGACAGTAGGTGTGCAATCCTGTTCCTCCTCCTCCTCCTCCTCCTCCTCCTCTCTCCTCCTCCTCTCCTCCTCCTCCTCCTCCTCCTCCTCCTCCTCCTCCTCCTTCTCCTCTTCCTTTTCCTCCTCCTCCTCTTCGTCCCTTCCTCCTTCTCCTCCTCCTCCTCCTCCTCCTCATGTTCTCTCTCCTCCTCATCCCTTTCTTCCTCTTCCCCCCCCCTCCTCCTCCTCCTCCTCCTCCTCCTCCTCCTCCTCCTCCTCCTCCTCTCCTCCTCCTCCTCCTCCTCCTCCTCCTCCTCCTCCTGTTCCTCCCCATCCTCCTCCGCGTTCCTCGCTTTTCCTCCTCCTCCTCCTCGTCCTCGTTCCTCCTCCTCCCATCCTGTCCCTCCTCCTCGCTCCTCCTCCTCCTCCTCATCCTCCTCCTCCCTCCTCCTCCTCCTCCTCCTCCTCCTCCTCCTCCTCCTCCTCCTCCTCCTCCTCCTCCTCCTCTTCCGTCCAGCTGCCCACCCTCCTCCTCCTCCGCTTCATGCTCTGCCCCATGGCCGCAGCAGCCCTTGAGATGCCCGCCAGGATGGCATCAAAGTGCAGCTGCCGCACACGAAGGGCAAGAGGATCGAGCAGTTCATCGACCTCCGCAGGGACGCGGGCCTCGGCCAGGGCGGCTGCGGCACCTGGTGCTGTTGGAACCTCCCTGCGCTGCTCCCCGCTCCTCGCGCTCCTCCTCGTCCTCCTGCCCCCGGAGTTGGCCCGACCGCCCGATCGGTCGATCGTTCCTCTCCCCTCGTTCCTCCTCCTCTTCCTCCACCTCCTCCGCCGCCTCCTCCTCCTCGCTTCTCTTCCTCCTCTTCCATGTCTCTTCCTTGTAGATAACTCCTCCCTGTCGCACCCCGAGACTCCCTCGTCACTTATGATCCAAAAGCTCAGAAGTCGGCACCGGTTTCGCAGATGGAGGGCTGGTGGTTTTCAAAATGGTGTTCTTGCGTTAGCGCCGATCGCACTCGGTCTAACAATTTCAAGTGTTGCACGGATTGAGGGCGAGTGGTATTCAAAATGTGGTTCTCGCCTTAGCGCCGTGCACATTCGTTTCGCAGTTCACAAAAGCCCCACGGATGGTTTTCAAAATGTGGTGTTCGCTTTGTAACGCCGCCCACATTCGTTTTAAACATTTGCTAGAACTTCACCGATTGGAGGGCGGGTGGTTTTCAAAGTGTGGTTCTCGTCTTGGCTTCGCGCACATTTGGTCTAAGAATCTAGAAGGGCTTCGCGGATTGAGGGCGGGTTTTCAAAATGTGGTTCTCGCTTTACCGCCGCGCACATTCGTTTGAACCTCTTGCGAGAAAGTCAGTACTGTTCATGGTTGACCTCCCAGGAATTCTGTCTGGGAGCGATTCAGGACTGTCAGGGCACAACAGTTGCGTTGATTCGCGGTGTTGAAGTCCCATCCCAGGAATAGTTTTCTGGCACGATTCAGGTTCGTCTATTCGTATCAGATAGGGTAACTCGTGGCGTCGAAGTCTTGAGAATGGTGCTTTGGCGCGCATCCGGATTTTTTACACAGTTGCCCCCAAACGGGGCAATTCCCTCAGTGGAAGTGAACCTTTTGTAAGGGCTCATGGAGAGAATTTGGAAGGAGAGTGTATCCCAACATCGTTGATGAGTCTTGGGTTTGCACTGGTCGTCGTCGTCCTCCCCCTCCTCCTCCATATTTTTTCCTTCTAAATGATGCCTCCCTGCCGCACCCCCAGACATGTCGGTAGGTCGGGCCAGGCGCTGGTGAGCCGAAGTTTGAAATTTACAACAGATTCACGCATGGAGGGCGGCCTGATGTCAAAAAAGGGGGTTTTCTTTCCAGCGCCGTGCACATTCGTCTTGACAAGATTGCAAGCAGTTTCATGGATGGAGGGCGGTTAGTATTCAAAATGTGGTTATCGTTTTAGCACCGCGCACAGTTGTTTTCACACATTCGCACCCGTTTCACGGATGGAGGGCCGATTTGTTCTACATGTAGTTCCCGGCTTAGCGAAACGCACGTTCGTCCCCAACGTTTGCAGCATTTTCAGGGGTTCGCACGGTCGAAGCCCAAGGAGTCGTGTTTTGGCCCGGTTCAGGGTTGTTAGGACGAAACAGTCACGTGTATTCGCGGTGTTGATTTCCGATGAATATTGCTTTGGCGCGGCTTCGGGCTGTCCGGACGCAAAGGTCAAGTTGATTCGCCGCGTCGGTGTCCCAGGAATTGCGTTTTGGCACGATTGAGGATTTCCAAACGGTTGTCTTCCAATGGGGCACTTCCCGCAATAACAGAATGAACATATGAAAGGGTATGTGGAAGGAGGGTTTATGGCAACATCGTTGATGCGTCTTCGGTTTGCACTCCTGTTCCTCCTCCTCCTCCGCCTCCTCCTCCTCCTCCTCCTCCTCCTCCTCCTCCTCCCCATCGTCATCATCATCATCATCATCATCATCATCATCATCATCATCATCAGCATCAGCATCAGCATCATCATCACCATCACCATCACCATCACCATCACCATCACCATCACCATCACCATCCTCCTTCCCCCTGACGCACTGGACAAGGAGGGTCATTCAACCAGTGTCGTCCATCAACAAAAGGTTCTTCGCCAAACGGCTTTCGATAAGAGTACCACCGCTGGCGCATGGCTTCGCCAGTCGAAAGAGACGGGAGGGGGCGATTGTCACGCAGCGCTTGTCATGGCGATTCCGAAAGTCTAAGATACGTTTCGCCAGCGCGATGAAGGACGGCATTTGACGCGACGGTGGAAAACTACGCTAGGCCTGAGGATTAGAAATAGCGCAAGGGTCATTGCAAAGACCGAGTCACCGAGATGAAGGGGGGACGGGAGCACCTCCTACATGAAGCCAGGAGTCGGAAGATTGATGGGCGACCCTTTCATCGTCAGCGTTGTCCTCGGCCCCTTCGCGAGACCTATGAGATATTGAGCGGCCGCAATGCAGTCTGAGTCAGGTTCAGCATTACTTAGAGGTGCACTTCCTGATGATGGGCAAGCTGATTCGTCCCACATTGCTTACGCTGACGATGCTCACCGCACTCTGCTGAGTCAGTTGGACGACACTGTGCATGACGCTGTGGCACCACTCAGCCAGGCAGACAATGTCTTGGACGCGGCGCTGGCGGGCGCCGCGCAAAGGACGCACCGAAAGGCGCCGCGCACGGTCGCGCGCGCCGCAGGGACTCGGAAAGTGCCTTCGGGGCGGCTCCGGGGTGACCAAAAAATGGCAGAGCTTGTGCCGCGGACGGCACGAAGCAGAGCCGGGAGGAGCGTGCCACGGACTTGCTTCTCCACTGGACGGGACGTGCGGGCTTCCCTTCCTGGCGCCGTGACGGGCGGCGCCGGACACCCGGTGCCCGTCGCCTCGCCCCTGCCGACGGCCGCGCACGAGCCACGGAGGGGAGCGCGGCGGCCACGGGCGCAGCCGTCTACGGCTTGGGCGGAGCCGGGTCGCTGCGAGTGCACGGGCGCTGGAAGCGCACGCGGCTCTTATCCTCTCGGGGGCGGACAGAGCCCCCAACAGTGACACGTCGATTCGTGAACGGTCCGTTTTCGGCTCTCGAGGGGGTGCCGCGGCCGTTATTTTCCAGGCTTGCGCCTTCCAGGTTTGGGCCTCAGGTCGTTTTCACTAAACCACGTTTGACTAAAGGGAGGTCTGTCCATCCCCGATCCTCGGTCCAGAATGACGAGCGAACAACTCACACCCATACCCATAGGAGGGTCGAAAGGAGGGGAACTGGCTATGGGTATGGGGGCGGGTGGTCGGACCCTGGGGGGAGCTCCCGTTCGAGCGGGGACCCCCATCCGACAACACGCACCCATAGCCTCCTCCGTCCCCCCTATGGGTATGGGTGCGTGCTGTTCGATCGTCACAGGACGCCAAGCTGTCTGCCATGGAGTGCCTCGTCGGAGCGATCATCGGTACCGGTCGGTGGACGCCCACCACATTGTCGAGCGGGGACGCATGGCGGTGTGCGGCGGAGGCTGCTGGATGGGTGCTTCTCGCCAGCGGGGATTTACCGAGCGCCCAGGTCCTTGCTTTTTGGCGTGCCGCTCCTCGTTCAGTGGGGTTCGCGAGGCAGACGACTGTCGTGGGACCAGTCGAGCGGGCGCTCCGCCCCGTGATGAGTAATCAGATTTGGGCCGTCTTGTACTCTCTGCTTAGGTCGGGCCTGTCCCCCTACAGTGGGGTTTTCGAGGAAAAATGATAATACCCAAAAGAGACCCCAAAAATGTCAAAAAATATTCAAGAAATAGTCCACAGACTATGTTTGGACTATTTATTATTTTTGGTGTATTTTTTTATTTTTCGTCGAAAATCCCCCTGTAGGGGGACAGGCCCGACTCAACTCTCTGCTAGATTTCGCGTCCGATGGTTGTGAACCCTGCTCGCTTCGACACTGGTCTCGCGTCACATGCTTCCCCGCGGGTGCTCCAGATGCGTTCGAGCTTGCAGGCCACGCCGACCGCCCCCTCGGGTCATTCGAAGTTGCCGGCGACGCTGGCACGCGCGCCGCGGGAGCCCTTGCAGGAGGAGGGGATGGTAAGGCAGCTTGTGGCCTCGGACTTCAGCGAATACCGAGCTTCGATTTTACCGCTCACCATCGCGCCCCGTGGGACCAAGCAGGACCACGAGGAGGTGGGAGGGGGCGAGGAGTTCGCCCTTCCTCCTCACACCTCCGCCTCCCCCGTGCCTCCGCCCACCCTCCCCGCGCTCTCCCTCCCTCTCCTCGTCGTCGTCCTTCTCCTGCCCCCCGAAGCTGCAGGGCGGAGCGCTGGAGAATGCGCGCCGGGACATCCCCATAGAGAGTCGGGGCCCTGAACCCAGACCCCCTCGAGTAATGAAAAAATCATGACGGGAGTTTTTTCCGAATTTTCGGCCTCCGGCGGCCCTCGCCGGGCCTCGGGAGCGTCAAAAAACGACTCAGGATGCAAAGCCGGTCATGGGGAAAGGGTCGGGACCTCTGGGGGTCGACGTAATGAAAAAAACATTACGTCGGGGGTCTGGGAAGAAGGAACCCTTTTCGTTGGCGAGGGGCTCCGTGTTCCTTGACTGCTTCACAGCTTAAGCGTAGGCTTTCCTCAGGTCTTCGACGGAGCATCGAGCTTTCACTGATGGGGAAGAGGGGCCTCGTTTTCCTTATTTAGCGTTCCTGAGGTCAACGCCCCCACTGTAGAGCGGCAGGGCAGGCGTGCTCTCGCGCGCAGGGGGCCGAGGACTCCAGCCGACCGCGAGCCGTGCTCGGCCGTGGCAGGACCGGAAGGTGTCGCAGGGAGCCCCCCCGGGGAGGGAGGAGGGAGGAGGGTGGAGGGAGGAGGGGGGAGGGAGGAGGGAGGAGGGAGGAGGGAGGAGGGGGGCGGACGGGGCCAGGGCGGGGACAGATCCGTGCAGAGCGTGCCGGAGCGCTCTCGAAGAGCGTGCCAGAGCGCTCTGAGGAGGCCGCGGCGCCCGGGACATCCGCCAGAGCCGCCGGGGCTCAGAGATTCTCGATGTAGCCAGGCCCAGATTGATCCTCGTCCTGGCCTCGTCCCCAGACATCGGGCGTCGCGAAAAATCGAGACGGAGGGCTTTCATAGTTTTCGGCCTCTCGGGGCCCTCGCCGGGCCTCGGGACCGTCAAAAAACGACTCGGAACGAAAAACCGGCCCCAGGGAATTGGTCGGGAGGTCGGGGGCCCGCGTCTCGAAAAAATCGAGACGTCGGATGTCTGGGTCTGAAGTGGAAGCAGCAGCAGGAGGAGGAAGCCTCTCGAGCTAACCTGCGAGCGGGGTGCGCTCAGGGGGCGCAAGGGCTGGCGGCAGCATCTGCCCCCCCTTCGCAGGCCACCGAAGCTCTCTTGAGGTGCGTCTGCCAAGCCAGGCGTCGAGCGAGCACGAGGGAGCGGAGGGGAGGATCAACAATTTCTGATGTTTCGGCGGTTCGCGACCGGGTGACGAAGAGAAACGGACAAGCTGACCTCGTAGAGGCGAGAGCGAAAATTATGCGAGACGTACCCAATCCCTTCTCCACGCAAGGCGATTCATTGTATGAGCGCTCCATACGACAGAACACATCGCCAGACATGCGCGATCAGGGTTGCCCTCATCACCGCCGTGCCTCCCAGGAGCCCACGAAAGTGGCGACATCTGGCGCAGCTCGCAGCCACCCATGCAGCTCCGAGGTCTCGGCTGGATCCGCGTGGCCTCCGACTCCGCCAGACCTCCCAGGGGCGCACGAAAGCGGCGACGAGTGACTGTGCGCAGCTCGCGGCCTAACCAAGGAGCTGCGCGGTCCTGTCTTGGTCCGTTTACTCCCCTGCTCCACCAGGCCTCCCATGCACAGCGCAGGGGGGGCAGGACGAACGTGGCGACAGCTGCGCAGCTCGCAGCCCCACCAGGGAGCTGCGAGGTCTCCAGTGGTAAGTCGGGCCTGTCCCCCTACAGGGGGATTTTCGACGAAGGAACAGAAATATCCCAAACATAGCCAAAAGTAGTCCAACAAATAGTCTGGGGACTATTTTTTGAGTATTTGTTTTTACCTTCTTGGGCATGTTTGGGATATGTTTGATTTTTCGTCGAAAATCCACTGTCGGGGGACACGCCCGACATAAATCTGGGGCCCTCTTGGACCCCACCAGAGGGCGCCCGGGCCCCCTCAGGACCACCTCTGGGCCGCCAAGATGGCTCCAAGAGAGATCCAGATAGCCCGGGATGGCTTCCATAGGGGAGCGAAGAATGACATAAACATAAAAAAAACTCGGAGGTCCGCGCGGATTTCTCGGATCGGCGCTGGGGCCCCCTGGCGGCGCCTCGGGCGCCGCCCCTGGCGCGCTCCGCGCGAGGTCTCAAGTGGTTCGTTTGCTCTCCGCAGGGCTTCCTCGGGGCCCGCGGGGCGGCGGCACCCAGGGAGCTGCGAGGTCTAAAGTGGCCCGTTCGCTCCTCCTCCTCCTCCTCCTCCTTTCTCCTCCTCCTCCTCCTCCTCCTCCTCCTCCTTTCTCCTCCTCCTCCTCCTCTTCCTCCTCCTCCTCATTTCTCCTCCTCCTCCGTTTTTCTCCTCCTCCTTCCTCCTCCTCCTCCTCCTCCTCCTCTCCTCTCCCTCCTCCTCCTCCTCCTCCTCCTCCTCATCCTCCTCCTCCTCCCTCCTCCTCCTTCCTCCTCCTCCTCCCTCCTCCTCCTCCTCCTCCTCCTCCTCCTTCCTCCTCCTCTCCTTTCTCTTCCTCCTCCTCCTCCTCCTCCTCCTCCTCCTCCTCCTCCTTCCTCCTCCTCCTCCCTTTTCCTCCGCCTCCTTCCTCCTCCTCCTCCTCCTCCTCCTCCTCCTCCTCCTTTTCTCCTCCTCCTCCTTTCTCCTCCTTTCTCCTCCTCCTCCTTCCTCCTCCTCCTCCTCCTCCTCCTCCTCCTCCTCCTCTCTCTCCTCTTCCTTCTCCTCCTCCTCCTCCTCCTCCTCCTCCTCCTCCTCCTCCTCGTCCTCCTTCTCCCCCTCCCGAAAGTGACGACGGTTGCACAGTTCGCAGCCACCCGCGGCAGGGGGAGGGGGGTGGGGGGGCGAGGGAGCTGTGCGAGCGCAGTGCTCGAGTCAGAACGAGGACCCAGCACAGGCGGGCCGGGAGAACAGAAGGCGCTTTTTAGACCATCCGGAGAGAGGCCCAGCGGCGAAGGGCCCAGGGGGCAAACGACAGACGAGGAGACGGCACGACGGAGGGCGCGAGGGGGGAAGGGAGGGAGGGAGGGAGGGAAGGAAAGGAGGGGGGAAGGAGAGGGAGGGAGGGAGGGAGGGAAGGAAAGGAGGAGGGAGGGAGGGAGGGAGGAAAGGGGGGGGGGGGGAAGGAGGGAGGGCGAGCGCGCCGGGGCGCGCGCTCAGCGCCGCCGGGCCCCGGCGGTCGATCAGGATTGATTCGGCCAGGGGTCTGCACGAACGAGACGGGCAGGGAAAGAATGGGTAATTACAATGCTCAGCAGCAGTTCCTGTCCACTTTGAACAGGACTCGCTGTCCACGCCGCCGCGGCCAGAAGGCCGCTGTCCTCCTCCTCCTCCTCCTCCTCCTCCTCCTCCTCCTCCTGTTTCAGGACGCCCGAAATGGGTACGGAAGCAATGGGTACAATGCCCAACAGCAGTTCCTGTTCACTTTGAACAGGACTCGCGGTCCACGCCGCCGCGGCCTGTGCCCATTCGAGACAGAAGGCCGCCTGCCCAACAGCGGCCGCTGTTGGTTTGGGACAACACTTGTTGTTGGGCATTGTACCCATTCTTTCCGTACCCATTCCGGGCGTCCAAAAGGGGCGTTGGATCAGGAAACAGTCACCGATGGCCAGACCTGGCCACGCTCCTCACCCTGCCAGTGCGGGAGAGGCGGCCCAAGACAGCTCCCTGCGTCCCCACGAGTGGCCGCCCAGCGGCCGCGAGATCTTGGGCCCCCTGTGTTAAGTCGGGCCTGTCCCTCTACAGAAGGAGTGTTCAAAAGTAGTCCGGGGACGATCTTCTGACCATTTGTGAGCATGTTTGGAGTACTTTTGGGGTAGTTAAGGCTGGTTCGCCCAAAGTCTCCCTCTAGGGGGACAGGCCCGACCTGACCCTTGCATCCGGCAAGCCCTCGCCCTCGCACGATGCCGCCACGCCTCTCGCAGCCCGCCCCAGGCACCGTGTGCGAGGGCACGGACAAGGCCACGGGCGCCCGCTACGCCGTGAAGTGCGTCCCGAAGAGGCTCAGGAGGAAAAGAAACACACAGACACAATTATTCTTCGATCCCCCAGAAAATATGGGAAATAATGCTAACAGAGTTCCCCACATAAAGAGATTAACGGTTTCGTGGAACCCATTTTCTTGATGCCCTCCTCGCGTTGGCGGGGCCCCGCTGGAAGGGGGGAGGGCTACGAAACCTGGCGAAGAGTAATGCTTTCCGCGACCCTCCTCGTTCAAGCGCGGGGCCTCCCTGCAGGCGGGGCCTCCCTGCAGGGGTGGGAGGGGCACGAAACCATGTAAATAGTATGGTTTTCGGATACCCTCCTCGCTCAGGCGGGGCCTCCCTGGAGGGGTGGGAGGGGCACGAAACCATGTAAATAGTATGGTATTCCGATACCCTCCTCGCTCAGGCGGGGCCTCCCTGCAGGGGTGGGAGGGGCACGAAACCATGTAAATAGTATGGTTTCGATACCCTCCTCGCTCAGGCGGGGCCTCCCTGGAGGGGTGGGAGGGGCACGAAACCATGTAAATAGTATGGTTCCGATACCCTCCTCGCTCAGGCGGGGCCTCCCTGGAGGGGTGGGAGGGGCACGAAACCATGTAAATAGTATGGTTTTCGGATACCCTCCTCGCTCAGGCGGGGCCTCCCTGGAGGGGTGGGAGGGGGCAAAACGAAATGTAAATAGTATGGTTTTTGATACCCTCCTCGCTCAGGCGGGGCCTCCCTGGAGGGGTGGGAGGGGCACGAAACCATGTAAATAGTATGGTTTTCCGATACCCTCCTCGCTCAGGCGGGGCCTCCCTGGAGGGGTCTGTAAAATGGTTTTCGGGGCTCAGCGGGCCTCCCTGCAGGGGTGGGAGGGGCACGAAACATGTAAATAGTATGGTTTTCCGATACCCTCCTCGCTCAGGCGGGGCCTCCCTGGAGGGGTGGGAGGGGCACGAAACCATGTAAATAGTATGGTTTTCGGATACCCTCCTCGCTCAGGCGGGGCCTCCCTGGAGGGGTGGGAGGGGCACGAAACCATGTAAATAGTATGGTATTCCGATCCCCTCCTCGCTCAGGCGGGGCCTCCCTGGAGGGGTGGGAGGGGCACGAAACCATGTAAATAGTATGGTATTCCGATACCCTCCTCGCTCAGGCGGGGCCTCCCTGGAGGGGTGGGAGGGGCACGAAACCATGTAAATAGTATGGTATTCCGATACCCTCCTCGCTCAGGCGGGGCCTCCCTGGAGGGGTGGGAGGGGCACGAAACCATGTAAATAGTATGGTATTCCGATACCCTCCTCGCTCAGGCGGGGCCTCCCTGGAGGGGTCCCTGGCTCAGGGGTGGGAGGGGCACGAAAAACCATGTAAATAGTATGGTTTTCCGATACCTCCTCGCTCAGGCGGGGCCTCCCTGGAGGGGTGGGAGGGGCACGAAACCATGTAAATAGTATGGTATTCCGATACCCTCCTCGCTCAGGCGGGGCCTCCCTGGAGGGGTGGGAGGGGCACGAAACCATGTAAATAGTATGGTATTCCGATACCCTCCTCGCTCAGGCGGGGCCTCCCTGGAGGGGTGGGAGGGGCACGAAACCATGTAAATAGTATGGTATTCCGATACCCTCCTCGCTCAGGCGGGGCCTCCCTGGAGGGGTGGGAGGGGCACGAAACCATGTAATAGTATGGTTTTCGGTATGGAGTGGTATGGAATGGTATGGTAGGTATGGTATGGTACGGTATGGTATGATATGGTATGGTATGGTACTGGAGTGTATGGTATGGTATGGTACGCCATGGTATGTATGGCACGTATGGTGTATGGTATGGTATGGTATGGTATGGTATGTGTGGTAGGAACTATGGTATGGTATGGTGTGTGTGGTAGGAATAATATTGTGCTGTATGGAAGATGGAGCGGGAGGTGGGTGGGAAGGAGAGGGTGTTCTGGGAAAACAAGAACCCCACTCAGGATGTGGGGAAATATGGGGGATGTTTTTTATTTGTGTGTATTTATTTGTGTGTCCTGGGGCCCCTCCAGAGGCGGGGGCTGGACCTGGCGATCCTGCAGCGGGAGATACGCATCATGAAGCTGCTCGACCACCCGAACGTCGTGAAGCTGTTCGAGACGTACGAGGACCGCCGCGGGGGGAGCGGGTCTCGAGGTGCTTTCCCGTTCTCGGGCCCTCTGCGCCCTCCACGGGCCCCGGGGGCTCTCAGGAAGCGGCTCAGGATGCCGATCTCGTCAGGAGGAGGAGGAGAAATGAGGAGGAGGAGGAGGAGGAGGAGGAGGAGGAGGAGGAGGAGGAGGAGGGGGAGGAGGAGGAGGAGGAGGAGGAGGAGGAGGAGGAGGGCCCCAGGGTCCAGGACCCGTTTCCCTCAGGACCCGTGCCCCCCCCCCGTGCTGAGAGGACAAGCTGTACTATTACCTCGTCATGGAGAGATGCCAGGGCGGGGAACTCTTCGACAGGATCGCCGCGGAGAAGCACTTTTCGGAGCCCGTGGCGGCGGGAGTGATGCAGCATGTGTTCCGGGGGGTGCTATACATCCAGGCGTTTGCGGCAAGCCCGCCACCGCGCTAGCGACGCAGCGCAGCAGGAGGGAGGCAGAGCTTAAGACCCGCCCCATTGCAGCGTCATGTATGCACAGGGGACATCTTGGGGACATCTTGGAGCCTCGGTACGATGGCCGTTTCGGGGTGTTCGCCAGAGATATTGTAGCCGTTTGGGGCAATGTTGGCCCGCATTGGGACCGGCCAGGGGACGAAATGTGCTCCAGAAAACAAAACCACGGGTGCGATGTTCTACTTGGGTTTGCTATGCATGGGGTTGGCGGTCCTGGAAGGCAGCTGAAACCCGATCCGACGATTCACAAGAGTGCTGACACTCCACCGTCGTGCCCGAACGACTGCGGATGCACGACATGGACGTGGTGCATCGGGACCTGAAGCCGGAAAACTTGATGCTGCTGGTTACTGGGCCCGTCCAGAACAACTGCATCAAGATCATCGACTTCGGCGTCGCCACGGAGACGAAGGTCGGCGGCACGCGGGGGGAAAGGCAAACGGGCCCTCTCAGAAGGCTCCGAAGGCCTCCGCCGCGGGGAGCCTCTCGAGAGGCGCGAGGGGCTTTTGCGCAGCCCTGCCGCCCTCCGAGAAGGTTCGCTCCTCCATTAGACGCTCGTCGCGTGGCGTTCGGGTCGCAACTCTCGGGCTTCCAGCGGCCGGCCGGGACGACCCAGGCAGCACGGGGAAGACCCTCGGCGAGGCACAGGTGCTGGCAGGCACCCCGAGGCCGGAAAACTTCCGACCCCCGGCCCTCACTCTGGATCCGCCCTACTTTGGGGAAATTCGTACATAGGGCTTGGAATTTCCGCCTTACTTTTCAAGCCCCGCTGATGCCAATTTCCGCCCTACTTTTCTGTTGCTGTTTCTGTGGATTTCCGCCCTGTTTTATGTTGGGTGCAGCAATTTCCGCCCTACTTTTTCGGCCTCTGATAGGTGGATTTCCGACGCAATTTTAAGTTGGAAAAAAAGCTAAAGTAACGTCAGACAACGTCCGATGTTCCCCTCGGGCGGGCCGCCGGCAGCAGGGCCAGCCCATCGCCACCAGGGTCGGCACGCCCGCCTACGTGGCCCCGGAGATGCTGCGGGCGCAGGGCAGCGGCCGCCCGCCCGGCTACGGGAGAGAGGTCGACGCGTGGAGCTGCGGCGTGATCCTGCACATCTCGAGGCCTCCTAGATCCCAGACATCGGGCGTCTCGAAAAAATCGAGGCGGAGGTTTTTCATAGTTTTCGGCCTCGAGGGGCCCTCGCCGGGCCTCGGGACCGTCAGAAAACGACTCGGGATGAGAAACCGGTCCCAGGGAAGCGGTCGGGAGGTCGGGGGCCCGCGTGTCGAAAAAATCGAGACGTCGGATGTCTGGCTAGATGGGGTCGGAGCAGATGGGGTCGGAGGATCGCGCCGCATCGCTGATGCATCGCCGACGCGGCTCGACGTGCCGCCCGCTTTGCTTCACGTCAACGTCGCCGATGCATCGCCGACGTCGACGATGCCTCGCCGATGCCTCGCCGATGCATCGCCGATGCATCGGCGATGCATCGGCGATACGTCGCGATCCCATCTGCTCCGACCCCATCTAGGAGGCCTCTAACATCTCGAGGAGCCAAACGTGGCGCAGACACGCAAACGTTCGGAGCTCCGCGTGGACTGCCCGGATCGGCGCTGGCCCCCCTGGCGGCGCCCCTGCGCGCCGCGGACGGAGGGTGGGCGGGTCAGCGCCTGCCCAGGGGAGCCGCGCGGACCTTTGGTGAGATTGCATGTTCGTGCCGTTTCGCGCTCCTCTGGCGTCCTGGTCTCGGGCTTCATGCCCTTCACGGGCCCGACCGAGAGGGACATCCTGGCGAAGGTCGCGAGGGCCGCGCTCACCTGGAAGGGCTTCGCGAAGGTGTCCGCGGACGCCAAGGACCTGATCCAGGGCCTCCTCACGGTCGACAGGACGAAGCGCTACACCCTTGACCAGGCACTGAAGCACACGTGGGTCTCGAATGCGGCGCCCAACGCCGCTCTCGTCGGACTGGCCGGAGTCGTCGACAACCTCAAGAAGTTCACCAGCGCCACCCGGATGAAGAAGATGGCGCTGCACCTGGTCGCGAGGCAGATGGACGACAGGCCGGGCGGGGCCAGGGCGAGCATGAGCCCGTGCCGGAGCGCACTCGGAGCCTTCCGCAGCGCTCTTGGAAAGCCGCGGCGCGCGAGACGCCTCGCAGAGCCGCTGGCTCTCAGAGGTGCTCGATCTACCCGCACCCGATGTTACAGGGCTCGACCTAAACGGTGTTTTCCTCTTTTTTCCCATCTGTTTCCGTTTTAATTTTGCTTTTCGTTGTGAACGCGTTTCAAAACACGTTTTCACATGCTCTGAACGCCGGCCGTCGCGCCCATGCGTTTTGGCCACCTGGCTGCCGTTTTGTTGGTCGTTCTGGTCTGGCACAGGCGCGTGCCGCACGTTTTGTTGGGCATTCTGTTTTCTCGTGGCTTCACTTTAACAGGGGAGACAGCGCGCTCTGCCATCGCTTAGAGGGGGGGGAGGGGTTGAAGCCGGACCCCCCCCCTGCCCCCCATGCTTCCCCTCTCCTCGGGCCGGCGCCTGCGTCGGCGGCGGCTGGCGGCGGCGGGGACGACGATTTCCATTTCTGGGCCGGCGCCAGCGCCTGCGGGGGCGGGCGGCGGTGGCGGGAAGCGACGACGAGGACGACGGTGGTGGTGGTGGTGGTGGTGATGGGTTGTGGTGGTGGTGGCGGTGGTGGCGGTGGTGGTGGTTGTGGTGGTGGTGGTGTGGTGGTTTGTTGTGGTGGTGGTGGTGGTGGTTGTGGCGGTGGGTGGTGGTGGTGGTGGTTTGGTGGTGGTGTGGTGGTGGTTTGCGGTGGTGGTGGTGGTGGTGCTTTGGTGGTGGTGTGATGGTGGTTTGAAGTGGTGGTGGGTTGTGGTTGTGGTGGTGGTTTGTGGAGATGGTGCTGGTGGTGTTGGTGGTTTGGCGGTGGTGGTGGTGGTTTGGTGGTTTGTGGTGGTGGTGGTGGGTTGTGCTGCTGGTAGTGGTGGTGGTTGTGGCGGTGGTGGTGGTGTTGTGGTAGATTGTGGTGGTGGTAGTGGTGGTGGCTTTTTGTTTTGTTTTGTGGTGGTGGTGGTGGTGATGGTGAGTTGTGGTGGTGGTGGTTGTTGGTGTGGTGGTGGTGTGGTAGTGGTAGTGGGTTGTGGTGGTGGCGGTGGTTTGTGGACGTTTGTTGTGGTGGTGGTGGTGGTGACGGTGGTGGTGGTGGTGGCGGTGTGGTGGTTTGTGGTGGTGGCGGTGGGTTGTGCTGCTGGTAGTGGTGGTGGTTTCGGAGATGGTAGTGGTGGTGTGGTAGATTGGTGGTGGCGGTAGTGGTGGTGGGTTTTTGTGGTGGTGGTGGTGGTGGTGGTGATGGTGAGTTGTGGTGGTGCTTGTGGTGGTGGTGGTGGCTGTGGTGGTGGTGGTTGTGTGGTGCTGTTGTGGTGGTGGTGGTGGTGGTGGTGGTGGTGGTGGTGGTGGGTTAAGGCGGCGGTGGTGGTGGTAGTGGTGGTGGTGGTGGTAGTGGTGGTAAGCGTCGCTGCGTCCCCGCCGTCGCCGGCGCTGCTGGCCGCCGCCGGCGCCCGCGCCGGCGCGGACGGGGGTGGGGTGAACACCCCCCGCCCTGGCGCCAGGGGGGGGTTGAACACCCCCCCCCGCGCTGCCTCTGGTCATCGTCGCTGCGTCCCCGCCGCGGGCGCTGCTGGCGGCCGCCAGCGCCGGCGCCGGCGCCGAAGGGGGGGGGGGGGTTCAAAACCCCCTCCCCCCTTGGGAGGGGGGGTTTGGGAGGGGGGGGGGGGGGCTTGGGGGGGAGGGGAGTCCCCCCCTTGGTTTTGATCGACGGCGCGCCGCCGAGTGTTGGGGGGGGTGCCCCCCCCCCGGTTCGAAACGCGCTGCCGAATATTGCCCAGACAAGCGCCCGTGAAACGCGTTCTCTCTAACAGGGACATGGAGCACCTCCGAGACATCTTCACCCAGTTCGACGCGAACAAGAAGGTTCGGATGCAGTTCGTGGGAGCTCAAATTCTGACTTTGGCCTGGTCCGAAATCCGGCTTAATCCGGTTTATTCAATCGCTTCGCTCACTCCGCCGGCCCATGTTGCATGATCGCTACTGTTTCGCCGTGGGCCCGGGGCCATTGTGGCGCCGCCGAGGAGGAAGAAGATGAGGATGGGGAAGGGGAGGGGAGGAGGAGGAGAGGATGAGAAGGAGAGGAGGAGGATGAAAATAAGTAGGAGGAGGAGGAGGAGGAGGAGGAGGAGGAGCAGGAGGAGGAGGAGGAGGAGAAAGAGGAGGAGGAAGAGGAAGGGGCGGAGGAGGAAGCCTTTCGTTGGCATCTTGTGTTGCTCTTGGGGCCAAACAGGGTCGTCGTCAAGATGTTTCTTTTGGGAGGCCTCTTGGAGTCTTTTGAGAAGCCGTTCGGGGGCGCCTGGGAGGCATTTTTGAAGCCGTCTGGGGGGCCTCCTGGGGGCCTCCTGGGGCCTCTTGGGGGCCTCTTGGCGGCATCTTGGGGCCTCTTGGGGGCCTCTCGGGGCCTCCTCGGGCCTTCTTGGGGCGGAAGGCGCGAGGTTTCGGTTTGTGGTCCCCTTCTTGGGCCCCTCTTGGGGCCGTCTTGGGGCCGTGGGCCGTCTTGGGCGCCTCTTGGGCCGCCTCGGGGCCTCTTGGGCCCTCTTGGGGCCCTCTTGGAAGCCTCTTGGCCCGTCTTGGGGGCCTCTTGGGCCGTCTTGGAGCATCGGATGGCCGAAAAGGGGACAAGGCCCAAATCCTTCCCAAACCATAGTAAAAATTCGGACTTTGGCCTCTCGGGGCCCTCTTCTGAGGCCTCTTGGAGGCCACTTGGAGGCCTCTTGGGCCGTCTTGGGGTCATCATCGGCGTCTTGGAGCGCTCCTTGGGCGTCTCGGGGGCCCTTTGGGCAGTCTTGGGGGCCTCTTGGGGCACTCTTGGCGCGCTCCTGAGGGCCCCGGGGGAGTCTCCCAGGACCCTCACGGGCTCCTCCCAGGACCCTCTCGGGCTCCTCTCGGGGTACTTTTGATCCAGGGGCCCCCAGGGGCCGCCCCGCGCGCGCGAACTAGAAATATTGTTAACCAGTTACCGGAGCTCTTAGCACGCCTCTGGCCCGTTGGGCCGGCGAATTCCCGCCTATTCCCGCGCAGCCCCACGAAATCCGGTTCAATCCCGCTTGACCCGCGGCCTAGTCCGGCGTAGCAGCCCCCCTGTGGGGCTTAATCCTACTTATTTTCTTCGTCCCCTGCTGCTCCTCCTCCTCCTCCTCCTCCTCCTCCTCCTCCTCCTCCTCCTTCTCCTCCTCCTTCTCCTCCCTCCCTCCCTGCCTTCCTCCTTTTCTCCCTCCCTCCTTCTCTCCTTTCCCTCCCTCCTCCCATCCCCCCCCTCCTCCTCCTCCTCCTCCTCCTCCTCCTCCTCCTCCTCTTCCTCCTCCTCCTCCTCCTCCTCCTCCTCCTCCTCCTCCTCCTCCTCCTCCTCTTCCTCGAAGACCTCCCAGTGGTTGCCCCCTAAAGCAGGGCACCCTGACCATCCTGGAGCTGCACGAGGGTTTGGCCAGGGCGGGCGTCACAGATAACGGCATGCTGCGCAAGTTGGCCAAGGCTCAGGGGGGGGCTCTTCGTCCTCCTCCTCCTCCTCCTCCTCCTCCTTTTCCTCCTCCTTCTCCTCCTCTCCTCCTCCTACTCCTCCTCCTCCTCTCCTCCTCACCTCTCGTCCTCCTCCACGCTCCTTCTCCTCCTCCTCCTCCTCCCCCTCCTCCGCTCGTCCTCCTCCTCGCCACCTCCTCCTCCTCCTCTCCGCCTCCTCCTCCTCCTCCTCCTCCTCTCCTCCTCCTCCTCCTCTCCTCCCTCCTCGCTACCTCCTCCTCCTCTCCTCCTCCCTCCCCCCCCTCGCACCTCCTCCCATCCTCCCCCCTCTCTCCCTCCCTCCCCTCCCTCCTCCCTCCCCCCTCCTCACCCTCTCCTCCGTCTCCTCTCTCCTCCCTCCTCCTCCATCCTCCCTCCCTCCCCCTCCCTCCTTATTCCTCCCTTCTCCTCCTCCTCCTCCGCCTCCTCCCCCCTCCTCCCCTCCTCCTCTTTCCTCCTGCTCTTCTTCTTCTTCGTCTTCTTCTTCTTCCTCCTCCTCCGTTTCCTCCCCATCCTCCTCCTTCTTCTCCACTTCCTCCTCCTTCTCCTCCCCATCATCATCACTAGCATCGTCATCACCATCATCATCACAACCATCATCATCGTCATCAGCATCATCACCATCATCAGCATCATCAGCGTCATCATTACCATCATCATCATGACAATCATCGTCAGCATCATCATCAACACCACCATCACCATCATCATCATCATCATCAGCAGCAGCAGCATCAGCATCATCATCATCATCAGCATCATCATCATCATCATCATCATCATCATCATCATCATCATCAGCATCATCATCATCATCATCATCAGCATCATCATCAGCAGCAGCATCATCTCCCTCCCCCTCCCCCTCCCCCTCTTCTTCTTCCTCATCCTCCTCTCCCTCCTCCTCGTCCTCCCTCCTCCTCCTCCTCGTCCTCCTCCTCCTCCTTTTCCTCCCCCTCTTCCTCCTCCCATCCTCCTCCTCCTCCTCCTCCTCCTCCTCCTCCTCCTCCTCCTCCTCCTCCTCCTCCGCCTCCGCCTACCGCCTCCTCCTCCTCCCCTTCCTTCTCCCCCTCCCCAACCCCGTCCCCCTCCCCCTCCTCCTCTTCCTCTTCCTCCTCCTCCTCCTCCTCCTCCTCCTCCTTCTGCCCCCTCCTCCTCTTCCTTCCTCTTACTCATATTGGGACTCGGCCTTGCGAGCCGTGGCGGCGGGGCATAATCCAGGCGCGTCCCGACGGAGAGAACCAGTTGGAAGAGAGACGATGCCCGCAGACATACTGTCCTCCTCCTCCTCCTCCTCCTCCTCCTCCTCCTCCTCCTCCTCCCCTCCTCCCCTCCTCCTCTTCCGGGGAAAGGTCACCCTCGGACTCACATCGGCGAAAAGAGGGGGGGGTGATGAACAGGGGGGTGGACATCATGGCGTGGGCCATGATATCTCCCCAGATCTCATGGCGCCTCTTCTTGCTTCATCACGCCCCGGGCCCCCCCGCTGGGCCGCGCACATGCCGCCGGTCATGATTTGCACCCCCCCCCTCTTGGACACCCCCCTCTTTGCCGCCCCCGATCACAGATCACGACGTCAGCGTGGCCGTCCTAGCAGCCGCCCTCGGTGCCCTTGCTGATCGCACCAACGGGCACGCCAGATGGCAGCAGCTCGAGGCCCGCGGAACGCTCGGCCGTGCCCTCCTCCGGCGCGAAGTTCTCCCCGGACCCCCTGGCCTCGGACCAAGAATGCTGAGGTACAAGATGCAGCCGAGGCTGTCGATGCTGCCGATCTGGTTCTGGAGCTCCACTTAGGGGCACAAAAAGTGGCATAAACATAATTATCCCGGCAAAGCAACCTAACAGCGACGTGTAGAAGCATATCTGAAAGCATTCCCCTTAAGATTCAGATGAAAATCCAGTTGTAGAATTCTGCTGTTCTCGCAGTCGTAGTCGCATTCGCGATGACAGTCGCAGCGGCAACGGCACACAGCCTCAGCCTCAGTCGCCTCAGCCTCAGCCTCAGCCTCAGCCTCAGCCTCAGCCTCAGCCTCAGCCTCAGCCTCAGCCTGCCTCAGCATCAGCCTGCCTCAGCCTCAGCCTGCCTCAGCCTCAGCCTGCTCAGCCTCAGCCTCAGCCTCAGCCTGCCTCAGCCTCAGCCTGCCTCAGCCATCAGCCTCAGCCTCAGCCTCAGCCTCAGTCGCCTCAGCTCTTCGGCCTCAACATCTCAGCCTGCCTCAGTCAGCCTGCCTCAGCCTCAGCCTCAGCCTGCCTCAGCATTCAAAATGTGGCCCGGGAATGGAGTTCTGGGAACTCGAAGAACACGAAGTGGCCTACAGTTGGCTCCGGGCATTCAAAATCATGCCCAGGAGTGGAGTTCTGGGAACTCGAAGAGCACGAAGTGGCCTACAGTTGGCTCCGGGCATCCAAAATGTGGCCCGGGAATGGAGTTCTGGGAACTCGAAGAGCACGAAGTGGCCTACAGTTGGCTCCGGGCATTCAAAATGTGGCCCGGGAATGGAGTTCTGGGACTCGAAGAGCACGAAGTGGCCTACAGTTGGCTCCGGGCATTCAAAATGTGGCCCGGGAATGGAGTTCTGGGAGGTCGAAGAGCACGAAGTGTGTGAGTGTTACGAAAAGCGAGCCCGGCTCTGTTCCCGTTCTCCAGAATGTGGCCCGGGAATGGAGTTCTGGGAGGTCGAAGAGCACGAAGTGTGTGACTGTTGGCGAAAAACGATTCCCGGTTCTCCTCCCCGGCACCCGCCCAGACCCCCCTGAGGAGTCATGATGCTCTCTTTTGACCCTACTAGAAACCTATCAGCAAGCGCTGTTAGGTAAAAACTCGCAAGATGCAGCCGAGGCTGTCGATGCTGCCGATCTGGTTCTGGAGCTCCACTTAGGGGCACAAAAAGTGGCATAAACATAAAAACTCGGAGGTCCGCGAGGATTTCTCGGATCGGCGCTGGACCCCCCTCCCTGGCGCGGGGAGCGCGCCAGGGGCGGCGCCGGAGGCGCCGCCGGGGGGCCCCAGCGCCGATCCGAGAAATCCGCGCGGACCTCCGATGTTTTATGTTTATGTCACTTTCTGTTCCCCTATCCACGTCGACCATGTCCGGATCCTGCACCTCGGTCCCGACCATGGCGCCCATCATGTTCACGATGCGACGCTGGCACCGCCGGTGGGGAATCGAGCCAGAGGCCAATTCCACCACGACCATCCGAATGCAAGCGGCCTCGATCAACAGTGGCTGCCATGTGGGTGTTCTGGGTGGTGCCCTCCAGAGCGACCAGGAGTTGAGAACGAGTGACCATCGAAGTGGCGCCATGGGGCTGGTATATCCTGCGTTTTGCTTTACCTTGCCCTTGGTCGGCGGCTAGCGGCGCCCCCACCGTGATGTGCGCAGGCGCTCCTTTCACGATGAGCTCTCGCGCCCAGGCAAGATGAGCAGAAACGAAAATTGCGAGCCAACATGTTGAGGCGGCAGGGGGGATTTCAGCGCAGATGCGCTGTGACAATCTCGCAAACAAGCACGTGCCTGAGCGATGGCTGGCCTGGGCCAACAAAGCTCTCCTCCTCCTCCAACTCCGCCTCCGCCTCCTCCGCCTCCCCCCTCTCCTCCCTCCTCCTCCCTCCCTCCGTCCCCCCCCCTCCCTCCCCTCCCTCCTCCCTCCCTCCCTCCCACCTCCTCCCTCCCTCCCCGCCCTCCCTCCCTCCTCCCCTTCCTCCTCCTCCTCCTCCTCCTCCTCCTCCTCCTCCTCCTCCCTCCTCCTCCTCCACCTCCCTCCTGCTCTCCCTCCTCCTCCTCCTCCTCCTCCTCCTCCGCCCCTCCTCCTCCTCCTCCTCCTTCTCCTTCTCCTCCGCCATCCTCCTCCTCCTCCTCCTCCTCCTCCTCCTCCCCCCTCCTCCTCCTTCTCCTCCTCCACTTCCTCCTCCTCCTCCTCCCCCTCCACCTCCTTCCTCTCCTCCGCCGCCTCCTCGATGTCTTCTCCCTCCTTATCATCATCATCAGCATCATCATCATCATCATCATCATCAGCAGCAGCAGCAGCAGCAGCATCATCTTCATCATCACCAGCATCACCATCACCATCATCATCGTCGTCATCATCATCAGCATCATCATCATCCTCATTATCATCATCACCGTCATCGTTGTCATCATCATATAGTTCTTCATCCGCATAATCCTCATCATCATACTCCTCCTCATCATCAACATCATCATCATCATCATCACCATCATCACCATCATCATCACCATCATCACCACCACCATCCTCATTATCATAACCATCATCGTTATCATCAGCATCACCACAATCATCATCATCAACAGCATCATCAGCAACATCATCATCACCATCACCAGCATCATCATCACCATCGTCATCATCATAATCAGCATCATCAGCATCATCGTTGTCATCATCATCATCATCATCATAGTGTTCTTCATCAGCATGATCCTCATCATCATACTCCTCCTCTTCCTCCTCCGCGTCCTCATCTTCTTCCTCCTCCTTCTCCTCCCCCCTTCCTCCTCTTCCTTCCCCTCCTCCCCCGCCCCCTCCTCTTCCTTCTCCTCTTCCTTCTCCTCCTCCTCCTCCTCCTCCTCCTCCTCCTCCTCTGCTCTGCCTCGTCCTCCTCCCCCTCCTCTTCCTCCTCCTCCTCCTCATCCTCCTGCTCCCTTCCCTCCTCCCTCCTCCTTCACCTCCTCCTCTCCTCCTCCTGCCTCCTCCTCCGCCACATCCCCCTCCTCCTCCTCCTCCACCGCCTCCTCCACCCCCTCCTCCTCCTCCTCTCCTCCTCCTCCTCCTCCACCTCTTCCTTCCCCACCTCCTCCTCCTCCTCCGCCCTCCTTCTCCTTCTTCTCCCTCCTCCGTCATCGTCATCATCAGCATCATCATCACCAACAACATCGCATCATCTGCCAATCATCACCATCATACATCATACTCCTCCCCTTCCCCTCCTCCTCCTCCTCCTCCTCCTCCTCCTCCTTCTCCGTCTCCCTCTTCCTCTTCCTCCTCCTCCCTTTCCACCTCCTTCTCGCCTCCTCCTCCTCCTCCCTCCTCCTCCTCCTCCTCCTCCTCTGGCTCCTCCTCCCCTCCTCCTTCCTCCTCCTCTTCTTTGCTCCTCCTCCTCCTCCTCCTCCTCCTCCTCCTCCTCCTCCTCCTGCCCGTGGAGGGGTGCCTCGGCGTGAGGGCGGCGCGTCGAGGCACCAGGGGAACTGAAATCCGCCAAATCGTGCCCTTTGTGTGGGTTGCGCTGCGGCAGGACATGCCGTGCCCCGTGGCCCTTGTGCGCAGCACTCCCTGGGTTGGTCCTTCTTCTTCATCCTCCTCCTCCTTCTCCTCCTCCTCCTCCTCCTCTGCCTCCTCTCCTCCACCTCCTCCTCCTCCTTCTCCCCTCCTCCTCTGCCTCCTCCTCCTCCTCCTCCTCTCCTCCCCCTCCTCCACCTCCTCCCCTCCTCCTCCTCCTCCTCCTCCTCCTTCTGCTCCTCTCCCCTCCTCCTCCTCCTCCTCCTCCTCCTCCTGCCTCCTCGACCTGTGTTTTGTCCCTTCTCCTCCTTCTCCTCCTCCTCCTCCTCCTCCTCCTCCTCATCCTCCTCCTCCTCCTGGTCCTTGTACGCACTCCCTTGGTTGGTCCGTGGGGAGTGCGGTGTTGGTCCGCGGGGTTCGGTCCTTCGCTGCCGCACGGTCCCACTGCAGGCGCCTCCCGGCGGCGCCCGGCCGGGTTTGAAGGGTGTGGGGCTGGGATCGCTTCGACCTCTTGCGTAGGCGGGGGAGGCTCCAGGGTGCGTGCCACCTGCTTGCGGGCTGTGGGTGGTCTGGGGGGTGGTCCTGGGCCCCGCTACGTCTCGCACCGCGCTCCCCACGCGGTGGCCAAGGGGGCGCCAGGGTCCCCGACCTCAGAGAGGCGGGAGGCTTGGGGTGGCATCCAGATGTGGTGTCGTGAGCGGGCGAACTGGCGGCGTGTGGGTGGACCCCGTGAGCGGGCGGCGGAGTTGTAGGTTTGCTTCTGTGGCGGCCCCTTGACGCAAGGGCCGGGCCATGGGAAAAGGAGGGCAGTGCCAGGCGATCGCAAGCATGGATCAAAAGGGGGCGCGGAAGAGCGACGGGTCCCGCTTCCATGGGAAATCGCGGAGTCGAGACGCTTCGAAGGCTTCGCGTAACCCCACCAGCCCATCCAGAGACGATGCCCAGAGGAGTTGCGTCGATCAGGGAAGTGGGCAGCACACAGAAGAAGCTTGGGACACTCTTCGGCGTTCTTGGGGCCGTGTTGGGGCTGTTTTGGGCCTCTCTTGCGTCCTAGGGGCCTCTTGGCGGTCTCGGGTTTTTTGGGGAGCGTCTCGGATGCCTCGGGGAGCCTCTTGGGGCCTCTTGGGAGTCTCTTGGGAGCCTCTTGGAGGCCTCGTGGGCGCCTCTTGGGGCCCCCTGGGCGTCTCTTGGGGCCCTCTTGACGCGCTCTCGGGAACCTTGGGAGGGAGCGCTTTTGGGGCCATCCTGGAGGACATCGATCAAAAGAAAGGGAAACTCCAATTAGCGCCCCCCTTGGCAGCTGCAAAAGTCGCCTCTTGGGGCGCTCTTGGGACGCTCTTGGAGCGGTCTTGGGCGCTCTTGGGGCCGTCTTGAGGCTCTCGTGGGCCCCTCTTGCGCCCCTCGTGGGCCATCTTGCCGTCTTGAGGCCTCGGAAGGTTATCGGAAGCGAACGGGCGACGATGCCAAAGTCATTGGTTCCCCCTAGGTTTTCGCAGGATTTTGGCTTCTTGGAGGCCTCCTTGGAGGTCCCGGAGGCCTCTTGGAGCCGTCTTGGAGCGTTCTCGGGGCCTCTCGGACCATCTCAGAAGCCATCTTGCGCTATCGTGAGCCATCTTGGAGGTCATCTTGGGCTCTCTGAGGTGCTCTTGGAGCCGTCTTGGGCGAAAAAGTACCGTCAGACCGCTCGCGACCCCCACCGTCCAGGTCCAGGGGAGGGGGTATGGGGGGAGGGGAGGGGCAAACCCCTCTCCGAAGGGGAAGAAGGGGGTGGAGGAGGAAATTCCCTAAACCACCTACGCCCAGAGGGCTGGTGGGATTTCCGCCGCCGAGCGAGGCGGCACCAGCCGCATGTTCGGGATGGCACCTCCCCCGATCCATGTTGGCGCGCCCACGACAGTGGACGGGGAGTTGGAAAGATCCAGAACCGGCGGCGAGCGCGGGGGGTAAGGGAGAAGGAGAAGGCCTTCTAAGGAGGCGGCGGGGCTTCTCGGGAGCGCCACGGCCTTCTGGGAAGTGCTCAGTATCTTAGAGGAGAAGGCTCAGAGCAGTTCTTCGAAGGCCAGGGGCCTCCCGGGCCCTGTGAGCAGGCCCGCCCCTTCTCGCTTCTTCTTCCCCGGGCTCGCCGCGGACGGGAGGTAATGTTGGAAAGCCTGAGAGGGGGCTCATGGCATTGGGGCCGATCTGCTTGTGCCTCCCTGGGCCCCTGGTTGGAGAGGGCCAGGAGGAGGGAGGAGGAGGAGGGCGGAGGAGGAGGGCGGAGGAGGAGGAGGAGGAGGAGGAGGAGGAGGAGGAGGAGGAGGAGGAGGAGGAGGGATAAGAGGAGGATGAAGGAGGAGAGGTGAGGGAGGAGGAGGAGGAGGAGGACGAGGAGGAGGACGAGGAGGAGGGCCACGCCCGAGGTCTGCGCACGGCCTGCAGGCACCGCCCCCCGCGCCGGCGCCGCCCAGAGGCGCCGTCGCTCGTCGACGCAGGAGTGGTGCCTTGGCATCGCTCGGCCGTGCGCATTTTTTTTTCGGCGGCGGCCATCGAGGAGCATCCTTGGTGATTTTTTTTTTTGCGAAAAAACACATCGCTCGGCCGTGTGCATTTTTTCGGCGACGGCCATCGAGGAGCATCCTTGGTGTTTTTTGTTGCGAAAAAACACATCGCTCGGCCGTGTGCAATTTTTTTCGGCGACGGCCATCGAGGAGCATCCTTGGTGATTTTTGTTGCGAAAAAAAAGAGCATACACGAGGGATGGACGTCCGAGCGATGGCCAGGTGAGGTGCACGGGCGCTCGGCCCTCGGCGCCGAGCAGCTGTGCACCGCACTGCGTGGGGGGCGCCAGGCCCGAAGGGCGTCCGAGGCACGGCACGCTGCACGTGTTGGCGCTGCTCCCGTACCTCCTGCACGAGCACCCTTCGGGTGATGTGGAGGTTCGGGGGGTGATCGCAGGCCTCCTCCTCCTCCTCCTCCTCCTCCCCTACCCTCCCTCTCCCTCCCCTCCTCCTTCATCCTCTTCTCCTCCCCCTCCCCCTCCCACCCCTCCTCGAGGCCTCGACAAGCCTCCTTTCTTCCTCCCCCCTAAGGCCTCCTCCTCCTTCCTCCTCCTCCTCCTCCTCCTCCTCGCTGCCCCCCCCCATTATCGCAGGCCCAGAGGTTGACACCAACACCAAGTTCGGCGGTGCGCCTCCACCGAGGGAGGAAGATCCCGATCTCGGCGGTGGTGGTAATATTCGTGATTCCTAGGTGGCCGAAGTATTACCACCAACACCGAAATTTTACATCGTCTTCCCCTTGTGGAGGCAACCCCCTGTGTTGGTGTTGGTGCCCATTTCCAGGCCTCCAAGGTGAGGGGGAACCAACGTTTCATTCAATCGATCTCACATCGATCATAATCCTCGGTGTCACAGCAGATCTCACTATCGGTCTCACAGTCGCTCTCACGATCGATATCACAAGAGATCTCACGACCGGTCTCAGAATCGAACTCATTATCGACTTGGCAATCAAATTCATGATCTATCTCACATTCGGACACACCATCGATCTCACAGCAGTTTTCATGATCGGTTTCACTATCGATCTCACAATCGATCTCATCATCGATCTCACCATCGGTCGCACAATCGATATCACAATCGATCTCACAATCGATATCAGCATCGATCTCACTGTCGATCCCACTATAGATCTCACGAGCGACCTCACCATCGATCTCACAACGGGTCCCATTATCGATTCCACAAGAGATCTCACTACCGATATCACAACAGATCTCACTATCGATCTCGCCGCCGCGCCACCGACGGGACACCCCGCGCCACCGACGGGACACCCCGCACCACCGACGGGACACCGCCGCGCCACCGGCGGGACACCGACGGGACACCGACGGGACACCGACGGGACACCCCTGGCCGCCGCGCGCCGGGGGGGGGGCGGACAACCGGCTCCGCAGCCCCCAGCCACGGCGACATCATTCCCCTCGCGCGCACACGCAGCTTCGCCTCGCCCCACCCCCTCGGCTCCGACTGGAGGCCCTCGATTCCGACAACAGCGGGGCCATCGACTACACGGAGTTCCTGGCCGCTGCCCTTGACGCCCGCGCCGCCTCGCAGGAAGCGGCCTGTCGCGCCGCCTTCCGCGTGTTCGATAAGGACGACAGCGGCACGATCTCCCTGGAGGATCGGGGGGGAGGGGGAGAAGCAAGAGGAGGGGGAGGAGGAGGAAGAGGAGGAGGACAGGGAGGAGGAGGACACGGAGGAGGAGGACAGGGAGGAGGAGGAGGAGGAGGAGGAGGAGGAGGAGGAGGAGGAGGAGGAGGAGGAGTAGAGGGCCACGACGACTGAGGCGGCGACGACGACGAGGACAACGATGATGGCGACTCCGCTTCCTCCTCCTGACCTCGCTGCTCTTTATCCTCCTCCTCCTCCTCCTCCTCCTCCTCCTCCTCCCCCTCCTCCTCCTCCTCCTCCTCCTCCTCCTCCTCCTCCTAATCCTCACCTTGGTCCACGACGTCGGCAGGCGGCCAGAGGGGCCAGCCTCGCGTTCCTCAGGGTGGGGGGTGGCAGGTCTCCCACAATGTATGTTTTGTTCGATCCTGGCAGCACTGGTAAGGCAGCGGTTACCGAGGCAAACGCTCCGAGTCAGCCGTTAACTTTTCCAGCATTTCTCAACACCGATCCCTTGGTGTGGGAATTATACGCACATGGAATCATCGGATTCAACATGTGACTCCCGCCTGTTTGAAATTTCAACACTCACTGCAGCACTTCAGGACGTAAGCCAACATCGCCAGTGAGTGTGATGCATACTACTTCTACTCATGCGCCACTCGTGTGAACATGCACGCACGCCACAGCTTCTGAACCCGCCCATATAGAACCCAGGTTTAAGAGTTTCTTTGACGTTGACGTGGTTTCTGTTTGATCGTACTTTGTTTGTTTTCGTGGTTTGTTTGTGTGTCGTGGTTTGTGTGTTGTCTTTGCTTGTTTCCGTTATCATGGATAGTTTTTCGTGGTTTGTTTGTTTGCCGTGGTTTGTATGTAGTCGCGGTGTGTGTGTGTGTGTGTGTGTGTTTGTCGTGGCTTGTTTGTTTTTGTTTGTTTGTGTGTTAACGTGGTTTGTTTGTTTCTGTTGTCGTGATTTGCTAGTTCTCGTTGTCGTGAGTTATGTGTGAGTCGCGGTTTGCTCGTTGTCGTGGTTTGTTCGTTGTCGCGATGTCGTTGTTTCCATTGACGTGGTTTCTTTGTTTATTGTTATTTGTTTGTTGTCGTGGTTTGTTTGGTTGTTGTGGTTTGTTTGTCGACGTGGTTTGTTTATCATGGTTGTTAATTTGTTGTTATGGTTTGAGTGTTGTCGTAGTCTGTTTGTTTGTGTGATCGTGGCGGGCTCCTCCTCCTCCTCCTCCTCCTTCTCCCACCTCCTCCTCCTCCTCCTGCTCCTCCTCCTCCTCCTGCTCCTCCTCTTTCTGCTCCTCCGCCTCCTCCTCATCCTCCTCCTCCTCCTCCTTCTCTCCTCCTCCTCATCCTCCTCCTCCTCCTCCACCTCGTCCTCCTCGTCCTCCTCCTCCTCTCCCTCCTCTCCGTGCCTCAGTCCCACGTTTCTTTTTTGGTTGCGCCGTAGCCCACGCCAGATGGCAAGCTACCTCAATGCAGTTACGTGATCTTTGCAATTCGGTCGGCTGCGAGGCGGGAGTAGCACAGCATACGACTCGCACTCTGGCTGGGGATCTTTGACCGATTGGCTAGCCTCCAGAGCGTCAGACAATCATCTAATGCTTCCTCCCCGACCCGTACTGACCCCTAGGCACCATGGGTTTATCAGTCCACCAGTTATCCCCTGTGCTCTCGACCAGCCGATCTTGTATCCAGACGGCGAAACCTACGCATTGATAAGTTGAGCGGCAGGCCGCTACGCGCAGCCAGGCAGACCGCCGCTGACTACGCATTGCACCTCACTTCGGCGCGCTGAGATACATAACTGCATGCACAGTTCAAAACGACCTCCCCGCGACGATATCCCCTAACGGTGCACAGCGCCCAGCCTCTATAGTGACTCCTACACTTCACGATGCAATCAGTTTCGCGAAAAACTCATCGAAGGTCTTCGCACGAACCTCCCAGAAAGACGCGGTCTGTTTCTTGAGCCAGTCCTGGTTGTACGCGGTGATCGCCTTCGCAACATCAGTTGAAACCAGCTCCTCACACCACTGCTCGCTTAAGATCGGCAACGTCCAAAGGTGACCCCACAAAGGGCACTCATTCTCCGTCGCCGACTTCAACCCAACGTGAATCGGCTGACAGAACACACCGAAGGGTACATACATGATGGCGCCCTTGGGCAAGTACACCACGTTGGAGGACCCCTGCATGAACTTGACCCCCTGCGGTGACTCAATGAACTTCTCGAAGTTGGCGAAGACGATCCCCTCGCGCAGTATTTTGATGATTTTTTATCGTTTGTGACTTTTATTATTTGATTTTTTGTATAATCTTACATTTAGTTTTTCGAGTGGGAAGCGGGATGTTGGGATTGGGGAGGGTTTTGTTGTTCGTGTCTAGGGAATTTTTTTAGCTATTCACATTATATAATTCATGGTGATATTATGATTATTTTGTTAGCATAAATTTCTGTTTTGTGTGACCGCCAGGATAGCCTTCATCGGGATCAGCGCTATGTACATGCCAGGCGCGCTGATGGCCTGCACGAAGGTGGCCACGCCTGGCAAGGGCCATGCCTGGCATCCGAACCTCTTCTGGTTCTTCCGACACGTGGCCAACCAGCTGCTGGCCCCTGGATCGTTGATCTTGTCGCCCAGGTCGCAGCCCAGGGTGTCCTCGAAGTGCTTGAACTCCGCCCTGTTGCTCAGGATGGGTGCCAGGGCGCCTGACCAGCCCTTGTTATCCTTCATGGCTTGGTCAACCTGCCCTACCACAGTCTCCAACCTCGTCGGTGCCTCCTGCTGGTACTTGGTCAGCATCTCCACGACGCTGTTCTCGGACATTGTGAAGCACGCCACCTTCTTGAAGTCGAACGCGGCTGGGTCGACCTCCATCTCGTATTTCACATTATCTTCACCCTTGAACTTGCCCGCCGCGGCGGGGACAGACTGGTTCACTTCTCCCTCTGGCTGCGACTTCTGGGCCTCAGCAATCTGCTTCTGGATATTGAATATCTGCGCGCCGTAGACCTTGCTCATCATCTTGCCGTGGCAGCCCGAGCCGAGCGCCTTGACGACCTTGTCGACCTCGTAGCGCCCCTTGTGGTAGTCCCTCCTCTCGGCCGCAGCGGACTCGTGAACCAAGAACTCCATGGCCTCAACCTGTTCGGAACACATCCTCGTGAGCTCGGGTGTCTCCGCCACTAGCGTGCTCACCTGCTTCTGGACATCGTCGAAGTCGTCCTTCTTCACCTTGTCGACGCGACAACTTTCCTTCTTCACCCTCTCCAAGTAGTCGTCGATCTTGCTGATGATGTCGTCGGGTTTACTCGGAAGCGAGTCCACGTTGCAACCCTTCTTGACCGCAGCCTGGTGCAGGTTCCTGATGGTCTGCTCGAACCCTTTCTGGCCCACGAATGAGGACTTGCACTCGCCGAGTATGTTCTGCATGGTCTTCTTGTTCTGCAAGAACTGCACTGGGCTCATCTTGGCGCTGCCAGTTGCCAGCGCAGCCATCTGCTTGTCGGCCGTCCTCGCTGACGCCCGTGCTTTCTTGTTCGCCTCGCGGGTGGCGTCCACCTGGCTGACGCTGTCGTCGGGGTCCACGTCGTCTTCGCCCTCGGAGTACATCAAGGTGAGGCGGCTCGGCAATTTTTTCTTCCCCGAGCTGGCTGCTGGCGATGTCAACGTGGATGGGAAGCCGCTCGACGAACCACCTCCCTTCGAGGACCCACCGCCACTGCCAGACGTCCGCTGCTTCACGTTGCGCGTCTCCTCGCCCGTGGCGTCCTGGTCAAACTCAATGTAGTCGTCCACCCTGACCCGAGGCTCGTGGTTGTCGAACTCGCCACGTTGTCCGAGGTGAAGCCGATCGAATTCCTCCGACGCTTCGTCGGAGGACACCTTGTCCCAGAACTTCCGAAAGGCTTTGAACCTGTTTTTGGTGAACTTTGGCTTCTGCACTACTTTCTCATTCCTCCTGGTCCTCGCCTTCTCCTCGTAGGTCGCCCACTCTAGCTTCGCATCCGCGGCGGCTTGGACGCGACTCTTCTGGTTCGCCACCGTGCCGTCTCGCTTGATGAAAGGGTTGATTTTGTTCCTCCACCTCTGGGGGCTGTGGGTCATCATCCTCTGGTTCTCACTTAACGCGTGCGGTCGGCCCTTCAAGGTCCGATCGCAGGCGCGCATGGCTGCGTGGCAAGAAGCGCGCACCAAGAAGCCGCCCTTGATCTTCCGCTCGAGCGGGGCGCCCGTGTCCTTCAGGCACACGAAGCACGACGACTGGCCGTCGCCGTCAGATTTGCTGCCCTCTGCCTCGTCGGCGCCTTGGCCCCCGTTGCCGCCGCCGCGGCGTCGTTTGGGGGGGGCCTTCGGCCCGCTGGACGCAGCTCCCTCCTCCCCACTGATGAGTGACATCGCCAATGCCCTGCTGCAAACTTTGAAAGACTGGCAGATTGGCGTGAAAGACCAGACAAGCCTAAATGCTTGAGCCGAAACGGCTATGGTGTTACGGAGCGTTCATCCGGAATACCTGGATACCTGGATATACCTCGGCACCCATGCAGCAAGGACGCACAACGCTGGTCGCACCGAAACAGGTCTCATTACTTCGCCATGGGAAGAATGGCAGACGACACTCACGCCCCCCCAGACGCCTCGCCACATCATACACGCATCGGGCATCAAAAGAATGCCCCGTAATACATAGGACCTCCTCCTCCTCCTCCTCCCACCTCCTCTTCCTCCTCCTCCTCCCCCCCCCTCGCTGCTTTCTGCGCTGCTGTCTCTCTCCCATCTGCCTCCTCGCCTGCTTTCCCCCTCCTTCGTCGTCTCGGCCCCTGGGGGGTAGGGGCTGGTGATGGCATGAAGAAAACGGTTTTGTTTTCGCTCAGTGGCTCATGATGTCCCCTTTTTGAGCCGAGGGGGGGGGGCCCCTCATGTTTTGACAGCGCGGGATGCAGAGTGCATCGCTCGCGCACGCCGACCCTACGCTTGGCACGGACTATAGGCACTTGGGTCACATGGCGATCGACCGACCGACCGACCTCCTCCTCTTCCTCTTGTGCCATCTGGTGATCTCGAAACACAACCGCCATCGCGGCGCACAAGAAAACTTAACGAACAACAAAAAAAACCTACAATGATTGACACCAAATGCGGTTGAGAGGGGTAGATGGGGCAGTCGACATATTCTACCCCTACCCCATTGGGACTAAACTTAAGAACGGCCCTTGGGATGGCCCCAAGGATTGCCGTGGGGATTAACATTGGGGACCGCAGTACATAGGGTAGCCAGACGACCCATTGGGATAACCTAGATAGCGGGGCCAAAACAGTCACTTGTAAGTTTAAGCGTTCATATATGCCCCGACATGACATATAGCAACATCGTGTGAACATGATGTTGCGCATGGCTCCGCCAACGTCACAACATTGCGTCTACACTGCCTCAAGCGTATGTGTGCACGGCCCAGACCCCAGCGTTGCCCCAAGTGGTTTCAATATGGTTTCAACGCGGTTTGAAGTAGGCGCCGTGGTTGCCCCGAACCCACAGTGACATTTCCGAAGGTGGTCCCAACGTGGTTTCAACATGGTTTCAACGTGGTTTTAACGTAGTTTCAACTTGGGGATGGAGATTGCCCAGAGGCCCACATTGGCGTTGGCAACATTGGTCCCAACATGGTTTCAAGTTGGTTTCAACCTGGTTTCAACATGGTTTCAACATGGTTTCAGCATGGTGCCTTGGCACCCCTTTGCCTACTGTGGCTTTCCCAATGTGGTTTCAACGTGGTTTCAACATGGTTTCAACATGGTTTCAACCTGGTGTGGGCTTGCACAAAGCCCTTGTGCGCATTTGCCCAGGATGGTCACAACATGGTTTCAACATGGTTTCAACGTGGTTTCAACGTGGTTTCGTTATGGCGCGCGGTTCTTCACTGGCTACATTGGCATCGGCCGCATTGGTCCCAACATGGTTTCAACGTGGTTTCAACATGGTTCCAACGTGGTTTCAATGTGGCGTGAGGGCTTCCCCCAGCCCAACGTGGATGTGCCACAGATGGTGCAAACGTGGTTTCAACGCGGTCCCAACATGGTTTCAACATGGTTTCAATATGGCGTGAATATTGGACACAAAACACTGCGGCCTTCCCTGGTATGGTTTCAACATGGTTTCAACATGGTTTCAACATGGTTGGAATGTGGCGCGGTGGTCCCATACCCACAGCGGCATGTCCGAAGGTGGTCCCAACGTGGTTTCAACATGGTTTCAACGTGGTTTCAACGTAGCTTCAACATGGTCATTAGTTATCCAAAGGCTCACATTTGCGTCGGACACCTTTGTCCCAACATGGTTTCAACGTGGTTCCAACATGGTTTCAACATGGTTTGAACATGGTGCGTTGTCCCCCCCAAAGCCCACTGTGGATTTCCCCATGTGGTTTCAACGTGGTTCCAACATGGTTTCAACATGGTTTCAACCTGGTTTGGGCTTCCACCAGCCCCGTTGTGCATTTGTCCACGGTGGTCGACACATGGTTTCAACGTGGTATCAACATGGTTTCAACATGGTTTGATTATGGTGGGTGCCTCATTTGACCCACCGAACTCGAACTGTCGCGTTTTCAACATGGTTTCAACACGGTTTCAACATGGTTTCAACATGGTCTGGCCGCTACGGCGTCTGCAAGCAGATGCCGACAATGTGGTCCGACGTGGTTTCAACATGGTCCAAGCATGGTTTCAACGTGGTTTCAACGTGACTTGGCTGCGCGAATTTCCCGCTTGTGCGCGTGCAAACGCGCGTGGCAGTGGTTTCAACATGGTCTCAACATGGTGTCAACATGGTTTCAACGGTGGTGGGGTGTGTTTTGCGCGCCTTGCGCGCCGTGCCAACATGGTTTCACCATGGTTTCAACATGGTTTCAACGTGGTTCTTTTTGGTTTCCACCAGCTGTCAACAGTGGTGTTCCCCGTGTGGGGTGGGTGTCAACAGTGCCTCGTGGCAGCATTGCGCTGTGTCAACACGCGGGTTTTCCTCGTGACATTTGCATAAAAATGGATTAGGTGCGCGTCAACAAAACTCTGGCGCATGTTGCGCTGGCATCAACATTCGGCGCGGGCCTGCGGCAGCGACGTTGACAACGCACAGAGGCCCATAAGCGTTGACAGCACACGCAACGCGGGGTTCCAGAGGCACCCCAACGTTCATTTCTTGTCCAAAAGGCCACTACAAACAGGGCGCGCATTGCGGCGCATCTGCACTTCACGCGTTTCAATGAGGTCACCGCGTCCCTCCACCCGCGGTTTGTCGCCGTGGCGCCTCGCCCAAACCCCCAGGGCACCAATGGGCACCGCAGGGTAGGCGCACACGGGGCCCCCGAGATGCACCACCCCAGCGGGTTGGCCCATCGGGCACGCAGCGCCCCTAGTCGTGGGCTGGCGGCTGGTTTGATTGATTTCGGTTCGGCTTTGCCAAGAGCGACGCGGCCTGTACCCCAGACCCCTTGAACGCCTGTCCGTTCATGTCTACCAGCGCTGAACCACATATGGTGGATGCGCTAAGCTGGCGTCCTTAACCGACGACAGTACGCACTGTTTTCCTATGATGCGCCTTTTCTGCCCCCACTCTACCCCAGCCCACCCTTATTGTAATTATAGCCCACGCCAATTTCTACCATTGTATGCGCCTACTCTACTGCACCCTTTCTCTAAGGCCAGTACAATTGACATATTGTATATATGTCGCAATCTCGCTGTTAGTACCAAGAACTCCGATAGGCAAGCTTATTACGATAACGCAAGCAATGAGGAGGCGGAGGAGGGGGAGGGGGGAGGAGGAGGAGGGGGAGGAGGAGGAGGAGCAGCAGCAGCAGCAGGATCAGGAGGAGGAGGAGGAGGAGCAAGAGGAGGAGGAGGAGGAGGAGGAGGAGGGAGGAGGATGGGAGAAGGATGCGCGCCATCGCCTGCTTGGGGAGACAGGCAGGGGTTTCGCACAGGTAGCGGCTACATTGCGATTCACTGTTGCTCTGATTCTGAGTGGTCCAAAATGGGCAGGCTCAGCCGAAAGAGAAACCGCAGTGCAATTCAATTGAGGACGCATGTCTGAATTAAGCGCCCAGGGAATCTACATACTCCTGGACTTGGGCCCTGGTCGGCCTGTACTTTCTATGGATCTCCCTGGGTGTGTGGCTCTTCGAGAGCCACGCTGCTAAATAAAGCTCTGGCGATCGATGGCCGAAAATGTCCACGTCGATGTGGGCCGATCTAAAACGCTCACACCCTGGCCTATGCAAGGGGTTATTGCACAGGACACTGAAACCCAGGGTGTCGAAAGTGAACTTGCACTGCAACTTGGGACCTAAAATGTGAGTGGGCCTGTCTACGATGCCAGGGACCACATCTCCTGCGATCACTGGCGCCGCAGGCGGCGGCGCCAGCCCCTCAAGGTCGATGGCCGCCGCCGCGGCCTCGCCCGCAGCCTCCATGTCGATGTCGATGTCGACGGCGTCGTGCTCGCCGCCCTCCTCGACCTCGGCCTCGCCAGCATCTGGAACCTGGGGCGCGGCGGTCACTCTCTCGCCGCCCCCCTCCCCCCCCCCTCCCTCGCCCCTATGACCCTCGCCCACACCACCCTCCCCTCCTCACTACCACCATCCCCTCCTCTCGCCCTTCCATCGTGTTTCCCCGCCCTCCCCCCATTCCCATATGCCCCTTTACACCCTTGAACATGCGGCGAGCCATCTCCAGGTTGGTCGACGCCGTCGTCGCCAGCGATGGCCAGCGCCAGCGGCGGCGGCGGCGCTGGCGCCGCAGGCAGGTCGGGAAGGGCCAAAGGTTTGGCCTCCACGCAGCCTTCATTCTGCAACAGCTTCTTGTACTCTATCGCTTTGAGACCTGGTGTCGCGCGATCGGGATGTCGAAGCAGGAGCTCATAGCATGCCTGGTTCGCTCCTGACCTGAACGAAGCAATACCAGCACCGAAGATCTGCCCAGCAAAAATGACTGCTTGCAGGTACGCCCTTTTCCCAGACACGCCCCTGCCGTCGAAAGCCTTGTCGCCGTCGGCCGAATGCACAACTACACCAGCACGCCGATCGTATCCCATCTCCGTAAGTTTGTCCATCAAGCAAAGTATTGGAATTGCGTTGCTTTTCAGTGCGATACTGCAAGTCAGCGGAGAGGGTGAGCTCAAAAGGTCGCAGCCTTCGGTCGGTGATGCCCCATGGGCCCATTCCAAAATACGATGCCGAAATGCTGGGTCATCCAGTCCTGGTTCTAACAAGTCGATGTGCCTGGGCTCGCTGTCTAAGTCACTGAACACATCGATGCCGTCCGCGACGTCGCCTTCCCCATGAAGGCTTCGAATGAGATGAGGGTGCACTGTCAATCGATACTGGAACTGCTGGGCGACTTGATCCTCCCACGTTTTGATAGTCACATTGCGCTTGTCAATGTCCAATATCTGGAACACTCGTTTTTTGTGTGGCTCCCCCGTGTCGTCTTCGATCGTGTAGTATCCATATTGTTTCAACGCAGCTCCGAAAAATTCTCTGAGTAGTTTGGCTGGTTCCGAGAGCGCCAGTAGTGCAGGGGGCAAGGGCGGTAAAGGCACGACGTCTCCCCCGATGCCACCTTCTGGGTCGCCCCCATCGTCCAATGCTAGCACAGCCTCGTGGTCGCCCTCGCCTGCGTCCAGCTTGAAGTCTGGGTGATAAAGCCGATTGTTGAACTTCTTCCTGTCAATCTTGAGACCTCTACGAAAACACCTGTGGTTGACTTGGAGCACGCTGGTATACTTATTCCACAAGGCCTGAACGTCTGACCCAGTAGCTGCCCCAAGCTCGCGAACACCATATAGATTGTCAGTCATGCGCATGGTTGCAGCAACGTATGGGAACGTACTTGCGGGAGCGCTCGCGTGAATGCGATGAGACTTCGCATGTGGGCCCTCTGCAACGTTGTCGTCCATGGGTATGTCGCAAAGGCTCTGCACTTCTGAGGTCAGACGTGAATCCATACCAGTACCGTCTGCATTCATATGTTGAATAGAAATCGCAAGGGCACTGTCCTTCCCCAGAAACTCTCTTGTAACCCTGTGATGGGCATGTTCAGGAACTGCAGCAAATTGAGTTAGTACCCTGTCTCTCACACCATCCTGACCCAATCGCGCCAAGAGGTAAGGAATCCTGTCTAAGAACACCAGCTTTTCACGCCCGAGTGCGACGGTCATCCTGGAAACGCCTTGAACGTCTTGTAAGAGCATTTTACTCCCAGCGAACATGTCGAAAGTCCATCCACTCGCTTCCCTGAGTACTTGATTGAATTTGTCGCCGATGTATGGCCATGCCTCTGACAGCCTGCGGCCCTTCCTATAACAAGTAACTGCCTTACCCTGTTCGTATTCAGCTTGATGGCACTGGCAACCACAAATCCAGCTTTGCATATCAGTAATCCACCCTGCGAGCCAAGAGATGAATTTAAGTTTCGCATGCCACGCTGTATCTGTCATTGCCTCCGAGACAGAACGCATGAGCGCCGCATCTCGTTTCTTTTTGAATGGTGTGTCGTCCCAGCGAAACATCAGTGATTCCACGCAGGAAAGCAATGACTTCGATACGCCATGTAAAGTCTTCCATCTCCATTTCGCGAAACTGGGGAAGGTCTCCGATTCGACCATAGATGCTACGCCAGCGAAGCCACGCCCGCGAAGGACACCGCACACCTCTTCCCGATGATTGCGAAGGAATCGGCTCACTGCCTTGAGCTGCTCCAGGAACTTTGGGAACCATTTTAAACTGCAACATGCCCGTTTCAGTAGTGTGTCGAATATGTGTCTCCATCCTGCCATGTAAAGCGCACGCGGGAAAGTAAATTCGTCACGAAGAACTCCTTCGGGCACTGTCGACCCGATCGATCTGCAAAAGTCGGGAACCATATCCGTAGCATCTGCGATGAGCCTCTCTGTTCCGAAATCTGTTGTGACCGAGCGCACTCGGCGACAGAATCTCCGTATCTGCGTAATCGACATCCCTGAAACCAAAGCTATTTGCCATAATAGCGAAAATACTTTCATTCGAGCGCCCAGCATGTATTGTTTCACTGTCGTGACTGGTAGGAGCCTCCTGGTGAAATGTGTTGCGCCCTCGCTGTACGAAATCATGTCATACGAACTGGCGAACAGCTCGAGGCCCATCCATTGGGGGCTGCTGTCAGTGAACAGGTACATGTTGTGCTCACGCCCCATCTGGCGAAGCAGAGTCCGAGTCAACAACATAGCTACGCAGTCGAGCCTCACCCGCGAACGCCGTAAAGTCTCATAGTTTGGACGCTGCACTCCATCGAGCAGCATTGCAAAATCGATCTCTCTGCCAGCCAACACGTTAGCCCATTTTTCACACGCCGTCGACGCTCTGTGCAGATCTCTCAACTCCATACACGCATCAAGCCAATCCAGAATTATATCAACTGGCGCTGCAGAACACCGAGGAGTTGCCTGAGCCAGCTGGTCCTGAGTCGTCAGTGGAACGATTTGCATGGCTCCGCGGTTGAGGAATTCATTCACTACTTTCCGTGATGGTACGGGTTCTAGTAACATTGTTCGTTGCATTCGTTGGCCAATGGGAATTGCATGGAATACAGTGGTAGACATCGTCATCACTGCCTTTGCCACTTTCGGACACAAGCATACTTTTGAAAATTTGGTTGCGGCGGGCAATATACCAACATGTTGCCGAAGCGGGATCGCATCTTCATGTCCGTGGTGGGCCCCGCATCGTATAACCATGAAGTCACTCGCAAATCTCAATATTTGTTGAGGCAGCTGGAGCTCACACGCGCTTGGATGTGTAAATCGAACCAAGTCCTGCGGACATCCGAACGTTTCACCGACTCCGCCCCGACCCCGAACCCCCACAAACATCAAGGGTTTGAAACGCATCACGTTCGAAAACCACTGCCCCCGAGCAGGGCCAAACCTCCCCTCTGAAATCGCTTCCCCGCAACCCCCGTCGAATCGAGGATGGGGTCGGGCGGTGGCGGTGTAACGAAGGACCCCCGTCCTGAACGACATAGCACACGAGCCCACGGACGACACCACTGGGTTTCCGAAGAGCTGCCTGAGCTACTGGGGCGTTGACAAAATCGTGACCGAGATCCACGAGCTGGCGCGAAACAATCGCCAAGCCAACCAAATACGGGGCGCCAGCAGGAAACTCGAAGCCATCCATATCATGTGCTTGAAATTCTTTGAACCATAACCCATGCCCATGTACTGTGGCCGCAAGCAGAAAGTAAAAGATGAGCCCTGGATGCTGCTGCCGTCGGCGACGGCGTGGGCGAGGGTGGTCCCCCTGCTCTTGCACCAGCGGTTCGCCGTCGCCTGCGATCATGAGCCAAAACGGCTGTGACGCAAGTAGAATGCAGAGGTCAATACGCAGAGCGAGTGATGACGTGATGGGGGTGCTGTCAAGGCTTTGACGTCGGATGTCATGGGGCAAGCCGTCCCCTCCTCCCCTCCCTACGGAGGGGAGGGAGGCTGGACAAACAGCGTGTAATGTCTGATCCTCGGGGCCCTCGGGGGGCTCTTAGCATTCACAAGAGGTCGACGGACAGCCCGTACTGAAGCGCTGGGGGGAACTCCCAGCCCAGCCTCCTCCTCCTCCTCCTCCCTCCTCCTCCTCCTCCTCCTCTTCTCCTCCTCCTCCTCCTTCTCCTCCTCGTCCTGCTCGTGCTCCTGCTCATGCTACTTATGCTCCTCCTGCTCCTCGTCCTTCTTACCATCCCCCTCGTCCACGTTGCCCCGTCGTCGTCGTCCTCCTCCTCCTCCTCCTTCTGAGTCCTCCTCCTCCTCCTTCTCCTCCTTCTCCCCCTCCTCCTCCTCCTCCTCCTCATCATCATCATCATCATCATCCCCCTCCTCCTCCTCCTCCTCCTCCTGAAACATCTCGGGAAACATCTGCTCCTCCTCCTCCATCCCTCGACATCGCTCCTCTAGTCGTGTATCAGCGGCCCCCCCTCATCATCAGCTCGGTCCTCGGTTCACTCCCTTCCCCTCCTCCTCCTCATCATCGTCGTCCTCCTCCTTCTCCTCCTCCTCCGTCCCCGTCTCTAACTAACAGTCGTCTTATTGATCCACCGTCTCTCAACACAACGAACAATGTGTTAAGGGGGAGGTCACCACCAAATCTTTGAGGATTGCAAAGGCCACCACATCGCTCGGGGACCAACGATATCCTATATCCAAGATTCAAAAAAAATCAACACCAAACGATGTGTTGTTGACAACTGTTGAGGTCCAGGGGTGGGAGCCGATCCTGCTGTTGAGATCTCTCTGGTCGTGTGGGGGCCCTTGTTGGGAATTCCAGGGAATTCTTAAGGGTTGGGAGCACCAATAACCTATGCCTTACCAGGCAGCACTGGGTGGCCGCCCCGGCCGCTCCGCGGCGGTGCACCTCGCCATCTGAGTGCCCTCTCCCTCTCCTCCTCCCGCTTTGCGGCCGCCTTTCGCCTGTCTCCCTCCCCTCCTGCCGCCAGTCAATTTGCGAGTCACGTCTCCTGGACCGCCTGAGCGCGCGCGCGGACTGCTTCGGCTGCGCTGCGACGTAAAACGTTGTTGTTGTATATATATATATATATACACACACACATCTATATATACACACACACGCTCCTCTTCCTATATTTTTGCGAGCCCCGGCGGGGGACCCCCCCCCCCACCCACACACACACACACACACACACACAAAAGAAAAACGGGCTCCCGGGATCTGGGGCTTTGGGGCCCTCCGAACGAGCCTCGAAGCGGTCCCCCGGGCCTCGCAGGGCGTTTTGCCAGGCCTTCCCAGCACACCTAGGGCGATCGGGGGGGTCATCGGAGACGTCCCAGAGACCCAGAAGACAGCACAAGTGCGCTCCAAGAGTGACCGACGTGACCTCAAGGCGACCCCCAAGAAGCCATCATATCCTCAATCCGTGGCCATTTTGGTTCAAGAGCTCAAGCGTTGGGCCCACGCCGTGCCGACAAAGATCGGATCTGACGTGGCCGCCCACTGTACGGCCTTACCGGCCGCCCAAGTCGGCCTTACCCGAGGGAGGGCCACGATGGCCGCCGGCGCTGCCGACGTGTTCGTGTACTCGCTGGCAACCTTCCTCGGGAATGTCGGCGTCGCCGTCACCGGCTTCGGCATGGCCATTGTGTACCTGTTCGTGTGGCAGGTGGCGAGGCTGTGCGGCTGGGAGGCGGACTTCAAGCACGCGGTGTTCATCCAGGCAATCGGCCTGTTCGCGGCCCAGCCGCTGCTGCTGCGCCAGGCCAACATTCGCAAGCACGGCTCCCGCAGCCTCCTGAAGCTGTTCCTTCCGGTGACGGTCCTGTCCACGCCTCTGGGCCAGTGGCTGGGGATCTACGTCGACGAGAAGGCCGTTCAGACGGTGGGGGGGGTCATCATCTGCCTCTTCGCCGCCTTCGAGGTGTTCCGCAACCGCAGGCTCATCCTCGAGGCCCTCCGCGGCGCCCCGCCTGCAGGCCCGCGCAGCGAGGACGCGGAGCGAGAGGGCCCGGACAGGGCTGCCGTCGAGGATGACGAGGACGAGCCGACGTGGTCCACAGAGAAGGTGTTCTTCATGATCGGGTCGCAGAGGTCCGGGTCGAACTGGCTGCGGACGATGATGGACGAGCGCGAGGACATCGCAGGCCCGCACCCGCCACACATTTTTGACAATTTTTTGCCTATCCTCGGCAAGTTCGGCGACCTGGGCCTGGCGACCAACAGGGAGATCCTCATCGACCACGTGCTGACCTTCGTCGAGCGGAACCAGGTGCCGTGGACCGACAGGAAGGGTCGGCCTCTCACCTTCGACCGGGGTCAGGTGTTCCGCGCGGTGGAGCGGGAGGTGGATACGGATGCCGTGTCCGGGATAGAGGTCCTCATGGTCATTTTCAACGAGGTCTACGACACCCATGCGAGAGCCAATTTTAAGAGAACATGGATGTGTAAGTCCATGGGGATGTCGAAGTACCACGATACGTTGCTGAATTTCTACGGAAAGGACCGCCTTCGTTACATCTACTTGGTTCGCGACCCGCGCGACGTCGCCATGTCGTTCATGAACACTCCCGTCGGCGATTGCCACTACCACGCGATTGCCACCAAGTGGGTGCGGCTCCAAGAGAGTGCTCTGAAGATTGCCGACGCCTACCCCGACATGGTGCACCTGCTCCGCTACGAGGAGCTGCTGCAGGACAAGGCTGGTGCAATGGAGCGTCTCTTCGAGTTTGTCGGCCAGGAGCACTTCGCCATGAAGCGACAGCAAAGCACAGCGTCCGTGCTGGCGATACGGGACCTGAAAACAAAGTGTGAGGACGCCAAGAATGGCAACGAGTCGAAAAAGGCGGCGGGGTTGTCAAAGCAATTCTGCAACCTGACCCTTGGCGACGAATTTGCAAAAGGCCAGTTTGCGAAGTGGCGCCACGGCACGCCGCCTATGCCCACTTGCGACGTGATCCTCGTCGAGAACGTGACGTGGGATGTTATGCAGCGCTTCGGTTACATGCCGAGCATCGTGTCGGTGACGCAGGACCCCGCAGCCTACTCGAAAAGTGAGCTGGAGACGTTTGAGAAGTTGAACCGGGAGGGGATCGAAAAGATGAATGCTGACCTGGAGGAGGAAGACCCCGAAGACGCAAACCGCCGGAGATCGTCGGCGTCTGTGCTCGCCTTACCGCCAGAGCTTATCCTGAAGCAGGTGAAGCGGAGGAACCCGAGCTCTGCGTGCCGGCTGGAGCAGGTGGCCGCCAATGGGCTCGCGATCGAGATTCCGGGGGGCCTGACCTTGCGCTGCGCGGCGTTGTCGCAGGCGGGGGACCATCCCATCAAGAGGGCCCCGAACCAGGACACGTTCACCCTGGCAGAGGGCCGCGTCGGCGTTGCGCAGCACTGGCTCGCCGTCTACGACGGGCACGGGCCGCTCGGCCGGGAGTGCGCCGCCTTCGCCCGCGACCACCTTTGCGACGGCGTCGCCGACCGCCTGGGGCGCGGCGCGGCCGGCCCGCTGGCGGCTGGGGCCGAGCAGGCTGAGGACGTGGGCGCCGCTCTAAAGGCGGCGCACATCGCCGTCGACGACATGCTGCGCGAGGACGAGTCCATCAACGACCAGGAGTCCGGGACCACGGCGATCTCCATGTATGTCAGCGGCGACCGCTGCTACATCAGCAACGTCGGCGACAGTTGCTGCTTCCGCGGCCACGTGGGCCCAGGCGGTCAGCTCGCCGTGGAGCCGCTCTCGGAGGCCCAGGCCGCCAACCGACCTGACGAGGCAGACAGGATCAGGAGCTGCGGCGGGGTGATCGCCACTGCAAGCCAAGTGGACGGCACCGAGCCCATGGAGCCAGGCGTCGAGCCCACCACCGAGCCCATGGATGATTGGACTGGAGATGGCCCACCACCGCGCGTGTGGGCGCCAGGGTGTCCGCAGCCAGGCTGTGCGTTCACGCGCTCCATCGGCGATCGTGCCGCCAAGCTCCTGGGCGTCGTTGCCGAGCCCGAGCTGAGGAGTCATACGATCACGAGAGCTGACAAGGTCTTCGTTCTCTGCAGCGACGGGGTTTCGCAGTACATGACGGCACGCGAGATTTGCAGCATGGCCCTGCAGCACGACGACCCAGTTGCCGCGTGCGCGTCATTGGTGGCGGAGGCCCGTCAGCGCTGGCTGAGCCGCGGGGGCCGCGTTGACGACATCACAGCACTCGTCTGCCTCGTCCGCCCAGACAGCAAAGGCGAAATGCAGGGCGCCCGTGCAGAGGATGCGATATCGCAGCAGGAGGAGCAGATAAGCCCGCGTGTGGCTGCCTGGGCGATCTCCATGGGGTTCGCGAGCGGGTTTCTAGGTGGGCTCTGCGGCATCCGCGGGCCCCCCATAATCATTTTCTTCCTGCACATGGTGTTCCCGAAGGCCATCCAGAAGGCGAACGGAGCTGCGATCACTGTGGTCAACGTGTCGATGCGCATTCTGGGATACGCAGTGGATGCTGCGACAGGCAACAGCACAGCTGTGATGGATGATTGGCCGCTCTACGCGTCCGTGGTGCTAATTTCGCCCGTGGGTGTCGCCATTGGCGGGCGACTCTTCGACCACACGAAAGACTCCCAGGCGAATCTAAAAACCATACTCGCGATGTTGCTGGTGTTATGCGGCATCAGTCTGCTCATCACTGCCTTTGAATGATCTGATGAGGCCCCCCAGCCACACGCAGCTAGAATTACTATTGCATGGAGTGCACTCATCCGCGTCGCCACGCGGCCAAGAGCTTGTTGGAGACGTGCGTCAATCGCGGCGGCTCATTTGGGGCCCATGGGCTGTGTGGACAGTTGTGGGCAGGGGATCCGCGGCGATCCAGGAGCGGACCCCGGGGAGCTGCCACCCGTGGGATCCTGCCGCCCTGCCAGCGAAGGTGTGCTGGAGTTTCGTCTCCGCCATTCGCTCTCCCAGCCCCGCCGCTTTGGCTCGTCCTCCTCGCGATCTCTCTCTCTCTCTCTCTCTCTCTGTCCGCTTTCGTACACAGGTACGTCGCAGGCAATCCTTTATGGCAATCCTCTCTCTGTCCGCTTTCTCCGAGGTGGCCCGCGTCAGCACCTTCGCGCGTTGTGCCAGATCGCACGGGGCGCGTGCCCGCTGCGCCCTGCCGCAGCCCGCGGCCGGAACGTCGGCAGCGGCCTCGAGCGCACAAGTCAGCAACGGGCCAGTAATTGTCGAGCGTTGTCTCGCCAGTCTTCGACTTCGATCTCACCACCCTCGCTCCTCTAACTACTGTGCTTCTCCCTTCACTGCGCTGCCTCTCGCGCCTTTGCCGTGCGCCCTCGTGTCAGGGTTTCCCTTGTGCTCGGCCCAGCGTTCTCGGCGCCTAACGCACTTCAAGGCGAACTCGCTGACGCCTCCGTTTGATCGTTGCCGCGGTGCAGGGCTTCCTGTGTCAACGCTCCCCGTGCTCGGCGCACTCTGACGATTCAAAGATTGCACTTATAAGGTTTACTATTGCATTTTACTGTTTACTATAAGGTGGACTATTTGCAGGACTTATAAGGTTTCACTTCCTCCCTCTTGGAGGAATTGGCGCGGCGCGTTCGATCCATAGTGGGCGCGGAGACTCGCAGTCCAATTACCTAACAGCGAAGACTGATAGGTTTCTAGTGGGGTCAAAAGAGCTCACAGATCACTCCACAGGGGGGTCCGGGCAGGTGTTGGGAGTTGCCGGGCGGCAGGGTGCCGGGCTCGTTTTTCGCCAACAGTCACACACTTCGTGCTCTTCGACTTCCCAGAACTCCATTCCCAGGCCACATTCTGATACCCGGATGCAACAGTCACACACTTCGTGCTCTTCGAGATCCCAGAACGCCATTCCCGGGCCACATTTGGATGCCGGATGCAACAGTCACCACTTCGTGCTCTTCGAGTTCCCAGAACTCCATTCCCGGGCCACCCGGATGCACACATTTTCCCAGGCCACATTTTGGATGCCCGGAGCCAACTGTAGGCCACTTCGTGCTCTTCGAGTTCCCAGAACTCCATTCCCGGGCCACATTTTGAATGCCCGGAGCCAACTGTAGGCCACTTCGTGCTCTTCGAGTTCCCAGAACTCCATTCCCGGGCCACATTTTGAATGCCCGTAGCCAACTGTAGGCAACTTCGTGCTCTTCGACTTCCCAGAACTCCCATTCCTGGGCCACATTTTCAGCAGGGGCAAGAGCACGACGAGGAGGAGGACGAGCAAGACCAGGAGGACGAGGACGAGCAGGAGCAGACGAGGAGCAGGAGGACGAGGGAAGAAGAGACGAGCAGGAGGAGGAGGACGACCAGGAGGAGGAGGACGACCAGGAGGAGGAGGAGGAGGAGGAGGGGAGGGGGAGGAGTACCAGGAGGAGGAGGAGGAGGAGGAGGAGGAGGAGGAGGAGGAGGAGGAAGAGGAGGAGGAGGAGGAGGAGGACGAGGACGAGGAGGAGGAGGAGGAGGGGGGGGGAGAGTACCAGGAGGAGGAGAACGAGGACCACCAGGAGGAGGAGGAGGAGGAGGAGGAGGAGGAGGAGGAGGAGGAGGAGAGAACACCAGGAGGAGGAGGACGAGCAAGACGAGGAGGACGAGAACGAGGACGACCAGGAAGAGGAGGAGAGGAGGAGGAGGGGAGGGGGAGGACTACCAGGAGGAGGAGGAGGAGGAGGAGGAGGAAGAGGAGGAGGAGGACGAGGAGGAGGAGGAGGAGGAGGACGAGGAGGAGGAGGGGGGGGGAGAGCACCAGGAGGAGGAGAACGAGGACCACCAGGAGGAGGAGGAGGAGGAGGAGGAGGAGGAGGAGGAGGAGAGAGCACCAGGAGGAGGAGGACGAGCAAGACGAGGAGGACGAGAACGAGGACGAGCAGGAGGAAGAGGAGGAGGAGGAGGAGGAGGAGGAGGAGCAGGAGAAAGAGGAGGAGGAGGAGGAGGCAGGCTGAGGCTGAGGCTGTGACTGCGACTGCCGTTGCCGCTGCGACTGTCATCGCGAATGCGACTACGACTGCGAGAACAGCAGAATTCGACAACTGGATTTTCATCTGAATCTTAAGGGGAATGCTTTCAGATATGCTTCTACACATCGCTGTTAGGTTGCTTTGCCGGGATAATTTTGTTGTTTTAACGTGGTGCGTCATCATCGCGTTGCCCCCTCACCTTTCCCCAGGAGATGCGCTGAACAAAACAAAAAGCCATCATATCCTCAAATATCGTCCCGAAACGTCCCAAGAGGCCTCCAAGAGCACTCCCAAGAAGGCCCCAAGAGGCAACAGTCATTAATTTCCTATAGGTTTTTGGTGAATGTTGGGGTTCTCCTCTTTTGGGTTTCCCGACGCTCCAAGTCGGCGGTCTTCTGGACGTCCGAAGCCGCCTGGCAGGCTCTAAAATCGCCCCATAACCATTCCAAAGGGCTTCCAGGCATTTGGACTATGTTTGAACATTTTGGGGGCATTGTTTTAGTGTTTTTTTTTCGCCCAAAATGCCCCTGTAGGGGGACACGCCGGACTTAAGCGTATGGGTTCCATCGTGTTCCCGCAGTGTGCTGGAGTGTCCCCCCGCTGGGAAGGGCCGAGCCCAGCGGTGGCTTCGGGTTGGGTTGGGGCGGCTTGGTTTAACTCGGGCCTGTCCCTCTACAGGGGGAGTAGCCAAAAATAGTCAAAACAATAGTCTGGGGACGATTTTTTGAGTATTTGTTTAAACAATTTTGGAGCATGTTTTGTGTATTTCTGATTTTCTCGGCGGAAATCCCCGTGTAGGGGGACGCGCCCGACTTAAGGCTTGGTTCTGTGGTAGACAGTCGGTCCTCTCCCCTGGTCGCCTCGTCTCCCCCTCGTCTCCCCTGGTCGCCTCGTCTCCCCCCGCGAGCACCCGCCCGCTCTGCAGCGCTCCTGGGCACAGGGAGGGCACGGCCAGGGCCGCTCCTGGGCTCCTGGGCGGGTGATCTCGAGAGCGCCTGGGGGGGGGGCTGCCTCCTCCTCCTCCTCCGCCTCCTCCTCCTCCTCCTCCTCCTCCCCTCCTCCTCCTCCTCCTCCTCCTCCTCACCTCCTCCTCCTCCTCCTCCCTCCTCCCCCTCCTCCTCCTCCTCCCCCTCCTCCCCCTCCTCCTCCTCCTCCTCCTCCTCCTCCTCCTCCTCCTCCTCCTCCTCCTCCTCCTCCTCCTCGAGGTCCGAGAGGCGTGCTCTGGAGCGGGCGGGGCGCGTGCTCCGGGGGCGGTGGAGGCGCGCTCTGGTTTTTGGGCTCCCGGGGCGGCGCTCCTCGTGCTCTCTCGGGGGGCCGGCCCGGGCCGGTTTCGCGGGACGGCCCTCGCCCCGCAGGATTGTCGGGGGAGGAGGAGGAGGAGGACGAGGAGGAGGAGGAGGAGGAGGAGGAGGAGGAGGAGGAGGAGGGGGAGGAGGGGGAGGAGGAGGAGGAGGAGGAGGAGGAGGAGGAGGAGGAGGGGGAGGGCAAAGAGGGGGGTGAGGACTAGGGGGGGGGGGACATCGTGGCGTGGGCCAGGATATTTCCTCAGCCTTCGTGGCGCCCCTTCTTCCCAGACCTCCTCGAGTGATGAAAAAATCATGACGGGATGTTTTTCCTAATTTTCGGCCTCCGGGGGCCCTCACCGGGCCTCGGGAGCCTCAAAAAACGACTCAGGATGCAAAGCCGGTCATGGGGAAAGGGTCGGGACCTCTGGAGGTCGACGTAATGAAAAAATCATTACGTCGGGGGTCTGGGATATTTCCTCAGCCTTCATGGCGCCCCGTCTTCTTTCATTGCGTCCCTGGCCCCCCCCGCGGGGCCGCGCACGTGCCGCCGGCCATGATCTGCGCCCCCCCCCTCTTGGACTCTTGGACGCCCCCCTCGTGGCCGCCCCCGACCCCAGGATGGGCGGGGGCCCCGGGGGCAGGAGCTCGCGGAGGCGCTGCAGTCCAGAGACGCGCGGCACCCCGTGAAGATGAGGTCCGTCGAGGCCATCATGGCCGAGGTGGACACGAGCGGCGACGGGGAGATCGACTTCGAGGAGTTCATGGTGATGATGCGGGGGTGAGCGCGTCGGTGCCACCTCGGGAGCTGCCAGAGAGGGGGTGGTGACCCGAGGGGGTGTGGATGCCATGGCAGGGGCCATGTTCCTCCCCAGATTTCTTGGCGCTGCTTCTTCTTCTTCTTCTTCGTCTTCTTCGTATTATTATTATTCCAATGCGTCTTCCTCTTCGTCTTATTATGATTTGTCTTCTTCTTGGTCTTGGTATTATCTTTCGTCTTCGGTTTCTTCTTCGTCGTGTTCTTCTGCTTCTGCTTCTTCTTCTTCTTCTTCCAAGGCGTCCCCTGGCCCCCCCTGGGCCGCGCGCCTGCCTCGCGCCGTGATCCTGCGCAAGCCCCGCCCTCGGACGCCCCACCCCCCGCCTTGGACGCCCCCGACGGCGGCCCTCCGCAGCTGCAGCCGCGGGCGGCGGGCGCCCGACGCGACGCGCCCGCGCGGCGCGCGCCGACTGCTCCCGCCGGGCCGCCTCGCCTCCTGCGGCGGGGGCGGCAATGCACCCGGGCGTCGGGCGCCTCGAAAAAAGTGGAGCCGGCGGTGTTTTTCGTAGGGAATTCGGCCTCTCGGGGCCCTCGCCGGGCCTCGGGGCCGTCGAAGAGCGGCTCGGGACGAAGAAATCGAGGCGGAGGTGTTTCGTAGGTTGCGGCCTCTCGGGGCCCTCGCCGGGCCTCGGGGCCGTCGAAGAGCGGCTCGCTCGAAAAAATGGAGGCGGAGGTGTTTCGTAGGTTTCGGCCTCTCGGGGCCCTCGCCGGGCCTCGGGGCCGTCGAAGAGCGGCTCGGGACGAAGAAATCGAGGCGGAGGTGTTTCGCAGGTTTCGGCCTCTCGGGGCCCTCGCCGGGCCTCGGGGCCGTCGAAAAGCGGCTCGGGATGAAAGACCGGTCCCGGGGAAGCGGTCGGGAGGTCGGGGGCCCGCGTCTCGACAAAGTCGAGGCGTCGGATGTTTGGGTCCTGCGGCGGGGGCGGCGGCGCAGGGAGACTGAGCGCGGCGGAGGCCTGGAGGTCAGCACCAGCACAAGCACGGTCGGAGCGCGGCGTGGGATCGGAGTTGGCGCGGGGAGGGTGCCCCCGTGTTCTTCGTGGCCGCTTGCTGTACTCGTGCATCCTGGGGGAAGGTACCCTCGAATGCTCTTCACTTCGGCCCGCGCAGGGTCTCATGTTCTTGCCGGATCTTCTTCTGCCCCAGGTCCGACCGTATCGGTGGTGTAACCCTGAGAGGCACTTGAGAATGCCCGCCGCTCCCCCCCCCCCTCTCCGGCGAAAATATAGCGCTCCAGCACCCTGGAAGCGTTACCTTGGCACCTCGCAAGCTGCTTTGAACGCAGACGAATCTGCCCGCCGAAACAAGCAAGCCGACTGAAACATTCTCGCAATCTGGCGTCCGTGTGGTTCTGAAACAAGCGCCTCGCCTGACAGAAACTGCTCTGAACGCAGACGGGTCTGCTGTGGGGGAGAAGCACGAGTCAGGAGGGGCATAGGCATAACTAGGAATCCTACAGATTCCCATTGGGGCACCGCCCGAGCCAAGGCGCGGGAATTCTTGCTTTTCCTTTTTTCTGCGCGGTGCGAAAGGTATCGTTGAAGCGAAAGCTGCCCGCAATCATTATTGAATTACAGTGCGGTGGCAACGATAACCCCCTGGGGGGGGTCGCAATTGCTTACGGAGGCTGCCTCCACCGATGCGGTCGGAGGCCTGGAGGTCAGCGCGTCGGAGGCCCAAAGGTTGGCACCAACACGAGAATCGGTGTGCCTCCACCGACCGGGGAAACGTAGGACTCGAGAGTTCGGGAGCCTAGAGAGGGGGGTCAATGCAAACGGGGGTCAGCCAGAGCGCCCGATCCTGCAGGATCCTGCAGGGCCAGGGTCGCACTGACCCGGGCTTGGGTGCAGGATCCTGCAGGATCTTGCAGGATCCTTCGCACTGACCCTGGTTTGGGTGCAGGATCTTGCATGATCTTGCAGGATTCTGCAAGGCCTGACTGACCCGGGTCTGGATCGACCCGGGTCAGAAGGTCCCCGAAGAGTGCGCTGTAACGCGGGTTTGCCAGCGTTTTTTGACGAGAGGCGCCCTGGAGTTTGACGGTCCAGTGTCCGCCGGAGGTTTGCAGCGGGAGATCGCGTCACATTGTTGGTCGGTTCTCGGTCTCGTCATGTCGTAATGGCCCCGTCAGGCCAATCCGAGTCCCCCGAACCCGAGTCTCACGTCTCCCCGACCAGAGGTTAGCACTAACGCAAGTGTCGGTGGTGTGCCAGGGAGCTGGCGACTGGCGGGGAGCTGGACCCCCTCAAAAACCTTTATCGGATGTCGAGAAATTTGAGACCCCCCCAAACGTTTTGCATGACAGCCCGAAGTAGATCCCCCAGACAGGCAACAAAGGGTCCCAAATCGAGACCCCCCCACAACTGTGTTTGACGAAGCCCGTTCGACCACCCCCCAAAAGCAGACCCCCCCCCATTGTTATGAGATCCGGAGTAGACGAAGATGATCCTGACTTCGGTGGTGGCGGTGAACTTCGGGCTTCCCCGGTGGCCGAAGCATCACCGCCGACGGCAAGATGTAAGGATCGTCCTTCTCCTTGGCATCGCTCGGACGTGCGCATTTTTCCTCGGCGAGGACCCTCGAGGACCATCCTGGACCATCGAGCAATAAAAAACACGCACGAAACCGAACAATGCACGGGAAATGGACGTCCGAGCGACGGCAAGCAAGACGTAAGGAAATCGTCCGTCTCCCGGTGGAGGCAGCCCCTCAAGTGCTGGTGTTGGTGCCCTGTTGCCAGCCTCCGAGCGTGGGCCGCGCCTCGACGGGAGCGCGCGCCTCCCGGAGCTGCCGGGCTCACGTCGTCGCCTTCGCTGAGGATGGGCACGTCTGTGGAGCTCGATCGGCCTGGGCGCCCCAGAAAGAGAGGGCGCCTCCGCTGAGGATGGGCATGTCTGTGGAGCTCGATCTCGGCCAGGGCGTCCCAGGAAGAGGGGGCCCAGTGTTCGGAGGAGCTGCGCCTCCTGGAGCCGGCCAGGGACACGCAGGAGGGACCACCCACAGGGGCACAGGGGCCCACGTCATCTTCTTCGCTGAGAGTGAGCGCGTCTGTGGAACTCAACGTGGCCAGGGCGTCCCAGAAAGAGAGGGCCCCATTTTCGGACGAGGTGCCTCTCCTGGAGCCAGCCAGGGACGTGCAGGAGGGACCACCCACAGGTGTCGCAGGACAGTACTGCAGCTCACCGAGGAGCGGGTGGGCATGCCGAGGGTATTGCACCACATGTTCCGCATCCTTCTCCCTTTCTCGTCCCTCTTCCCTCCACCCCCTGCTCCTCATTGGCCTCCTCCTCCTCCTCCCTGCTCCTCCTCCTCCTCCTCCTCCTCCTCCTCCTCCTCATCATCATCATCATCATCATCATCATCATCATCATCGTCATCAGGAGTAGCATCACCATCACCATCTTCCTTCTCCTCCTCATCATCAGCATCATCATCATCACTTCATCACCATCATCCTCATCATCATCATCATCATCATCATCATCATCATCATCATCATCATCATCATCATCATCATCATCATCATCATCATCATCGTCGGGCCGATCTGGCCCGCAGCGTCGGGGGCGCGGCCTGCCTTCCTGCAGCAGGCCCGCGCCGTGCAAGGTCGGCAAACCATTCCCGACGAAGTTCCGAGCACGCCACGCGGCACAGCGAGGGGGAGTGCCGCTCCCTCCTCCCTCCTCCTCCTCCTCCTCCTCCTCCTCTCCTCCTCCTCCTCTCCTCCTTCCCTCCTCCTCCTCCTCCTCCTCCTCCTCCTCCTCCTCCTCCTCCTCCTCCCCCTCCCCCTCCTCCTCCCCCCTCCTCCTCCTCCTCCTCCTCCTCCTCCTCCTCCTCCTCCTCCTCCTCCTCCTCCTCCTCCTCCTTCCTTCTTCCCACAGCCCTGAGGGACCAGTGTCTGAGGTGTCCACACATGCATACGTCAGCGGTGAGATAGGCGGCAAGTAAAGCGGGGGACGAGGAGAGCAGCAATGGCCAACATCAACCCGACTCGCAATACAAATCGAACGGGGCATATAGATGGGCAACTGACGCCTCCAGCCATGCATCCCCAGGAGGCGTGGGGGCACAGCGTTGTGAGGCTGCCTGCGTGATAACAGCAGCTACGTAGAATTCCACCTGGCTGCTGTCAGGAGGGGCCAGGATCGGCACGGCATTCATGCACAGGCACTGACGGTCCCCCATGGGCACACATCTCGACGTAGTGGTCGGAGACGTAGCTTGCAGGGAGCACAGGAACCTGACCTCGGGGACCTTCCAAATGCAGGGCAGGTTGGCTTGCGGAGCAGGTGGGTTTAAAATGAACAGAGTCGCCAGGCCCGAGGACGCCGCACACAGCGCCAGCGTCAGTGCCGCCCTCAAGCACGCACTGTCGAGTTCCAGCTGCTTCCACTCCGAGGGCGACCTGGCAGAAATTCCCCATGGCTCATCGCAGCTTCTTAAAGGCCTGCATTCACCATCCTTGGCTTTGCAGCGGGGGGCGGGGTCCCACGAGGAAAGGAGAAAATCCGTCACGAGACCAATAACACGCCCAGCAAGAATAATATCCGTAATGAACAGTAGCTTCTTATGAAATCCCTCAATGGAGTTCTGGAAAAGCTCGATAATATTAAGAGACAAAACAAAAACATTCATGCCCGCTATGGCACTGGACTTCTCCGCTCTGTCCTGGATGTCACCTTGACTCCTGGGAGCTGCACGGAGGATCACAATGTACTTAGTACCAGGGGCCGCAGGCAGGTGGACCTCTGCCTGAGTGGGCATCTCTTCCTGGATGCACACTGGTTGGCAAGAAATTCTCGGCATGCAAGTGGGGAGGCCCTTGGAGACAGCCGCTCCCCTTAGCCTAGGTCCCGTCGCGAGGACAGGCGGGAGCTGCGCAGACTCCGCGTAGTGGCCGTTCTCTCGGAGCGTGCGTGCTAGCTCCGCGTCCTCCGCCTTAGCCGCCATCACCTGTTCGGGGCTCAGCGGTGTGATGACGGCCATAAGGTCCGCCAAGCACTTCGATGAGCCATGCCGAGCGTGTTTGAGCAATCTTAGATGCGTGTGGAAGTTGAGACCGCATGCCATGCACACAGTGCCTGAAACGTAGCTGGGGGCGGGGTCAAGGTGGGGGTGGCACTTCGAGCGATGGGAGGCCCATGCGCCCTTGGTGGCCAACACCGCCCCACAGTCCAAGCAAGGATACAAGGCGAGAGCCGACGGCGGACGCAACAAACGACGGGAGCGCAAGACCCTTGGCGATGCAACACTTTCGCCACCCGTCCTTGAATTCTTCATGACGCTGATCGTCCAACAATTTGGCCCTGGCAGCCGATTCTGCTTGCTTGCAGATTCGCTTCCAAAACTTGTTGCTGCTAGACCTCAGGAGCCACAACCACCTAGCAGGGGGCCCTGACGGTAAGAATTCCCTGGCCAGATTCACATGTCTGCTGAGCCACAACAGGTCATCGCAACACAATGCGGACCATGATTCTGGCACTGAGGCTAGCTCGTCCAGGATCGCCAGCAGACAAGCAGGCGCTGATTTGAGAAGCCTGGGAAGAAATCGCAGCCGCCTGAGCCTCAACACCAGCTCGACGGGCATGATCTCACACTTCACAAAAGCTCTATGGTCTGCAGCAGCCTCACCAGAACTAGAATCGCACCCAAGACTGGCCGCCAATCTAAACGGGCTCAAATAGTTGCGCGCCAGGGTCGCCATCTGTTTTACGTTTAACTTGTGCCAAGTGAGGGCATTGAACAGAAGGTGCGACGTGCACAAAGAAGTAACATAAATTAACTTGGCCCTTAAATTGACTTGCCTCCTGGGGAAAACAGCGCGCCTCAGCGCCCCTAGAGGACGTCGCTGCCGATGGCAGCGGTGCGCCAGCTCGGGCCCCAGAGAAATGTGATGGCCCCGGTAACTTCCCAAGTGTTTGTATGTTCTAGTGAGGCACAGGGAGACGCCTAAGGAAGGGACGAGAAGACCAGCGGCAGCCAAGGCTGCACACTCCCCTCGTGCCTTCCTGGAACCTGTGCCGCTGAAGAAGGCCAAGAGCTCCGTCTTGCCCGCCATCCAGTTCATGGTGAACCCCCTAGACTTGGTTTCTTCGTACATGATCGCGACGAGGGCGATGGCCGCCTCCTTCCAGAGCCTAGCGTCTAACAGCTCGATGCCGTTGACGAGGTCATCCATGAAGGCAGGATCCCATGCGTCCTCCTCTACATGCTCGTGCTCACGACCTCTGAAAATCCTTTGAGACGGGACCGCATCCTTAGTCCTCTGAAGATACCCCAGGGATCCTAATCTACTGTTGACCGCGATGATGATTGGGTCGAAGGCTATGATGAACAGGAGGTCTGCTAGTGGCATGCCTGGCCTCGTACCTAGGCGGGGGGGGGCAACCCTGGTACTCCCCCGTATTTGGAACCAATTGCATTCCATCACGTGAACCACTGCTTCCAGGAGGTGCTTACTTGCCAGTCCGTCCAGGGCTCCAGGCTTGGCGACTAGGGCATGGCACAGAGGCTCCAGACAACTTGGTATCTCCAAGTCCGCCAGCATGTTTTGGATGTCCTCGCTGTTCTGGGCCATTCTGGCGACGAACCCTCGGATGACCGAATAGAATGCCGCCTTTAGATCGGTGTACAACGACAGGTATGTGCGCTTCCTAGCCTTGGCAGCCAACATGGCCGACCGAAGATGCAAGGACGCAATGTCAGTGCCGCGTTGAGGGAGAGCTCCCTGCTGGACCACCGACAGCATGTTCATCGTTGCCTCTAACAATTTACTCCTGAGGAAGGCATGGTGCAACTTCGCCGTGTGACATCCCAGTAGGATGCCTCTGTAGTGTTCCAGGGTTCGGGGGGCCCAGATTTGCGCAGATCACATTGCCGACCTCCTTTGAACAGCAGGGGCTCCCTGGACGCCATGACAACTTTCACGAACAACGGCAATAGGATCTGCGTGCATTCTTGCGGAGCGACCTGGAAAAGATTATTGCTGAATCCGTCAGGCCCAGCTCCTCTCCTCTTGGCTGCCTTCATGATGTCGTGGTTGAGCCTGCGGAAGGGGGTGATCATGTCCAACTCCCCGGGATATACATTTCCCCTCTCGGGGAGGGCGTTGTATCTTTCAACCAGTTCTTCCCGGCTGAGTGCCTGCCCATTCTCAACTACAGCGAAATAATCTGCGAGGGCCTCCGAGAGATCTCCAGATGTGGCCAGAACCTCGCCCTGAGAACCTCGTCGGATTCTAAGCCCCTCGACCTGGAACTTGGAGCGCTTCCCCCCGAACCTTTGCAGCTGGCAAAGCACCCCCCACTCCACTCGACTCTCGTTTGAGGACCTAGCGTTGCTCAATTGCTGCGCGAGGTCGTCGAACAGCTTGTTGCGCGAGAGCTTCAAGGCCCTTCTCAGGGCCGGCTTCGACTTGACCAGCAACTCAAGCATGTGTGCGGCTAACGCGCTTGCCGCCAGGATCTGTTTATCCCAATCAGCGAAAGCCTGGAAAAGCTCCGAAACCAGGAGGTCCAGCTCAAGATCGGCGATGTTCTGGGGGGCCCCCGCCTCAAGCGCCGCGGCGACCAGCCTCCTGACACCACCAGAGTCCTGCTTACCCCAGAGACGCCACGCCTGCCGTACTTGCCTTCTGAAGATGATTACTCCTAGAAGATCCTCTGATACATATGGCTGGATCGGGGTACGTGCGGGTTTAGGGAAGCATGTTTGTGCACCCACGTACATGTATTGAATGATGTCGTGCAAGTGCTGATTCATGTCGACCTGGTGGGGCACCGTGGGAAACGCTGCCAGGTGCATCCTGAAGGCTGCTGCCTCATCAGGGTCCTGGGTGCCCATAGCGTCGTAGCCGCTCTGCTGTTGCGCTGCTTTGGTGGAGCCCTGGGACTCGAAGCGCATGAAGACAGGATAATGATCCTTGCCAGTGCAAAAGGAATCAATATCATATCGAACTTGATGTTGGCCCAATGCGGGAATCATATTCTGCTCAACCGCAATGTAGTCTATTCTGCGTGGTGTTTCGGACTTCGACGAGACGAACGTGCACGAGTCCTGGCTGAGAGAGGGGACTAACGTGTTGGCCGCGGCCAAGCCCGTCTCCAAGAGCATGTCGTGGAAAAGCCCGCCCGATTCGTCCTCGTCCTGTCTGAACCCTTCACTTCCCACTGCTTCAGACACAATGCTGCCAAGCCTGGCATTCGCGTCTAGGAAGGCCAACTGGACTTTCCATTTACGGCAGATCCCTATGAGGTCCCGCCACCACTGTTTCCTCTGCTGCGAAGTATACTCGTCTCCGTTGTGCAGCGCATGGGCAACCAGGATGATCTTCCTAAAGAGTGGGGCGCAACAGCCAACCGCCAGGTGCCTCTGGGTAGCGTACAACGGCCTAACATGTTTCTGTTCAAAGTATAGCTCTTCGCCCCCACGTCGCCCGTAGGGTAGGTGCAGGGAGACCCAAAGTTCAACGCCCAAGTTCTTGCCACCGTCGGGTCCCGAAGAAAGCACAAAGTATCCAGCATAACACCTTTCCCCCGACGGATTTCTCGCCTCCTGCACCCCAACGATGTGGCACTGCTCCTGAGCAAACTGCAATCTGAGAACCTCACCCGACGTTTTGGCGCGTCTTGCCGCCGCGGCCTCCGCGTCCCTGCCTGTCTTGGCGCTGAAAGTGGCAAGCCTCACGCTGATGCTGAACTGGCAGGACTTGGGGGCCGTCTTCTGCGAGGGTTGGGATCCCACAGTATCCCTTAGCGTCTCCACCGACGCTTGAGGGCGCCCAGGATACCGAAAGGTGTTGTCGGGGCCTATTGGATACGCTTCTTTTGTGGCCATAGGTGCCTCCGTAAGCCACCACCACTCGAGGTCGTTCGTGTACCTGAGTGCCTCGCGTAAGGCCGGCGGGGGTGAGCACCCAGCCGCTCGGTCCGACCGTGCTAAACTGTCTGCCAACTCATTCCATGGATGCCCAGAGTGACCACATACATGCAAAAGCAAAGTGCCGTGTCTCTTGCGCGCACACAGGTATATATGGTATGTAAGCCAGGCCAGGTGCTGGTTCTCCGACGGGACCTCCAAACCCAAGGATATGTTGACAGCAGACTCGTTATCGCAAAAAATGACCAGAGCTGGGGGGGGGTGCACCGTGTTCGGCCCAAAGAAACCCAAGATCCAGAGTGAACTCCACAATATCCCCATGAGCTCGATAGTCGTGCTAGTGACATCGTCCCTTTCGAACTGCATTGCTGTGGATTCCCATGCGCTCATTTTTTGCCACCCTAGGAAGCTCACCGTGTCGTCAGGCGAGATCGCGACAGCAGCGAAGGCCCAGGCTGAGTCCCTGAGCGTCTTTCTGTACGAGGCGTCGACATAGATATGTACTGATATTGCTCTATGTGCCCCGCGCGCAGAGATATCCAGAGCAAACTTGGCAGTGTGATGTAAGGGAATATCTCCAAAATCGTCATTGCAAAGCTCAAACCAGTTGATGTTCTGGAGTAAAACCTGATATATCCTGTCCGCCTCCTGAAAACCACAGTGTCCACTGCCATTGCTCTCAGGATTCTGGAAAAGTAAAGGGAACAGACGCAGGGAAGTAGTATACCCACCATCCTCCCTCAGTGCCAGCACACTCCCCCCCGCAACTGCTTCGAGCTGCTCCCTGGGTGGGGCGGGGTGCGACGGCGGTGAAGGGGGGGCGGGCACAACCGCAACTGTAATTGACGGTTGATTGGCCTCGTGTCCTCGCTCCTCATGCACAGCATGCTGTAATTCGCGAGGACGAGGCAAGAAAAGATGTTCCTTCGAGGTCTTGCCCCGCAAGCGATACCTCGTTCGGCCGTTGGACCGAGTGGAAGCTGACGATGAGTCCTCAGTGGCATCACCTGAAGTGGCTGCCGAGGAAGTATTGCCTGACTGCGAATTCCCAAGACCACAACCCTTGGACGAGATATCCGAGACAGGGGCCGACCTAAGAATCGGCCTAGTGAAACAGGTCCGAGAAAGCGTGTCCCTGGCTTGTCGGACAATTATAGGTGCATGCGCTTCAAAGCGATTCACTTCGACTGGGCCCCACGAGACCCTGCTAGGCCTTGCAAGTTGGACCCGCCTTCCAGCTCGCAACCCTGGCACTGCATCTTCTTGGGGGGGGGGGGGGACCTGTGTAAGGGTGGTCTCTTTGTGTAGGTGGCTTGTGTGTGTTTCCTGGTTTCTCATTTCCCTCTGCTGTTCCCTCTCTCTCTCTCTCTCTCCTCTCTCTCTCTCTCTCTCTCTCTCTCTCTCTCTCTCTCTCTCTCTCTCTCTCTCTCTCTCTCTCTCTCTCTCTCTCTCCCTCTCGTTCTTTCTGTCTGTATTAGTTTTTCGTTTGCTTTTGATTGGATTTCAATGAAACGAGAGCGGGGCCCAGATCCAGAGGATTTCTATTTGGATTCTAATTAGATTCCAATTGGATTTCAATAGAAATGGAATGGATTCCGCATCCAGAAGATTCTATTGAAATCCAATGAGATCTCAATACGATTTCAATCGAAAGAGAACGGGTCCCAGGTCCAGAGGATTTCTATTTGGATTCTAATTAGATTCCAATTGGAATTCAATAGAAATGGGATGGATTCCGCACCCAAGAGGTTTTATTGAAATCAATAAAAACGCTGTGTTTTCCAATAATTCCAATTTTTTCTAATATTGTCCAATAAAAACGCTGTGTTTTCCAATTTTCCAATGTTTTTCAAGGTTTCGGGTACGACACACTGTGTTTTCCAGTTTTTTATTTAAAAATTAATAAAAACGATGCGTTTTCCAATTATTTCAATGAAGCATCAATAATAACGCTGTGTTTTCCAATCTTTTGAATCGAAAATCAATAAAAACGCTGTGTTTTCCAATATTTGTATTAAAAACTAACTAAAAACGCTAGGTTTTCCAATTATTTTAATGAAAAATCAATAAAAACGCTGTGTTTTCAAATCTTTTTCAACACAAATAATTAAAAACGCTGTGTTTTCAAATCGTTTTAATTGAAAATCTATAAAAAAACGCTGTGTTTTCCAATTTGTTATTCAAAAATCAATAAAAACGCTGTGTTTTGCAATTATGTTAATGAAAAATCAATAAAAACGCTGTGTTTTACAATCTTTCTGAACAAAAATTAATGAACACATTGTGTTTTCCAATAATTCCAATTATTTCCAATATTTTCAAATAAAAACCTTGTGTTTTCCAATTTCCCAATATTTTTCAAAGTTTTCCACCAAGGATCGCGCGTCGCCCCGTTGCCGTACCCGAAACCTTGAAAAAAAACATTGGAAAATTGGAAAACACAGCGTTTTTATTGGAAAATATTGGAAACAATTGGAATTATTGGAAAACACAGCGTTTTT